AAACAAACTGACAACGCCATGGCCAAAAATAAAAAGACAAACAGACAAATAATAGTACAGATGACACAACATAGAAAACTAAAGACTAAGCAACACGAACCCCACCAAAAACTGGGGGTGATCTCAGGTGCTCCGGAAGGGTAAACAGATCCTGCTCCACATGTGGCACCCGTCGTGTTGCTTATGTTATTACAAATCCGGTAAGGTTCAGCCTCTTTTTCGAATTATTGCTGAGGGTAGACCTTCCAAACATTTGTAAATACTTCAATTTGAAAAAACAAAATATTATCACCGTCTCCCCATTTTCCACATGCAAAAGGGGGGCATTAAAAGAAATATTTTGATCTAGGAAATTTCAGCAATAGTAAAAATTATTCAATAGATATAAGAAGATGTGGTATGAGTGCCAATGAGACAACTCTCCATCCAAGTCAAAATTATGTATATTTATTAATGAAAAAGATTTTAATATTTTCTGACATTTATCTTTTTTACTTATTACAAACTAAGCTTTTATGGGTTGAGATATTACTAAATGTACCGCATATTATAAAACAAGATTTATAGCTATAGACAATAATTTTATACATGTGTCTTTTGATTTTAATTTGCATTATAACTGTTACTTTTGTGGTCTGCATCATCATATCTTGTGTTAGTTGCTATTTGCTTTCATTGTACCTTTTATAATTTATTGACTCTTGTATTACCTTAACCTGGTTATAAAAAGAAGTCGGAATTTCATATTTTCCTAATTTAGATTTCTGATTCATGTATAAATATCTGGTCGGCGACCACGTCATTCAGATAACGAATGGATTGTTAGTGTCCTGTAAGTATGTTTTTTTTAATTTATTTTTAAAGTTACTTTATTGGTTGAAAACAAAACTTTACGACAAAAGAGATGATTTCAGTTTCCCAATTGTGAACTTTACATTTCTATGTAGCAACATTCCAGCAGCGCCTGCATACGGAGTATATGTCTCCCAGTTGATACGATATTCCAGGGCTTGTATTTCCTATCATGATTTCCTTGATAGAGGGTTTCTGCTCACAAGGAAGCTATTAAACCAAGAGTTCGAAGTGGTGAAGTTGAAATCATCCCTTCATCAATTTTACAGACGCCATCACGAGTTGGTTGACCGTTATGGAATATCCGTTTCACAGATGATAGCGGATATTTTCCAAATGTCGTAACTACAATTTCGTCCCCTTTTCCCCGAATGTGACCTACCGATTTAGACTTATTACCGGGTTTGTACTTACATGTGCAACATGACGGGTACCACATGTCGAGCAGGATCTGCTTACCCTTCCGGAACATCTGAGATTACCCCCAGTGTTTGGTGGGGTTCGTGTTGCTCAGTCTTTTGTTTTCTATGTTGTGTTTTGTGCACAATTGTTTGTCTGTCTGTCTTTTTCTTTTTTAGCCATGGGTTTGTCAGTTTGTTTTCGACTTATGAGTTTCAATGTCCCTTTGGTTTCTTTCGCTTCTCTTTTATGATAGATTTAACTGCTCATTTTAAAAATATATCTATTGTTTTAACATGACTGACTGTAGCTGACTGCTCACAAAACTTAGAGCGGTAAGACGTAATTTAATTAATGGGATCAAAAACAAATATATAAAAAGTATGTGCTGATCGTTTGCATAATACGAATATAAAAACTAAACAAATAGCAAAAGCAATACAATTGACGTTTACATGTATTTGTTGTAAAATTAACTGTAATACTAGTTATAGCAATTTCATAAATGCAATGCAGTTTTGATAGCAGGAAAGGTTTTGAATCAATAATATCTTTATAATTTATATCAAGATCTTACGTATTAATAGAAATTTTATTAGAGGTTATACGCGTCTTTGGGCATTACTGAATAACATATTTTCCTTTGCTTATCAATATATTTGAGGGATAATTGGTCTATTGGTAACAACAAACAAGAAAAAAACACTTTTGTATTCTGTTCGCAACTATATTTTGTCACTATGTTGGCATGGTTGGTATCAGTATATAATAGATTTTGGCAGAGAATCAAATGGACTAAAACATATATGCAATAAATACATTTATCTAAAGATGTATTGATGTAGATAATGAATAAAATGTGACATATAAATAACACTTGTATCCATAATGTATCATTTGAAATTAGATTAAACATCCGAAAACAAACATAACAACAACAACACAAAGAAACTAAAAATAGAGACATATTGAAACGGTTATCCGATGTGTGTGAGGAACAAGACGGGTGACAGATTTGTAGCTTTATTTATATTGACAAAAATTTTATACATGTATCTTTTGATTTTAAATTTAATAATAACTGTTACTTTTTGGGTCTGCATCATCATTTTGTATTTGTTGCTTTTTATTTTTATTGTACCTTTTACGATTTTTTTACTTTTATATTACCTTTACCTGGTTATAAAAAGAAGTCGGAATTTTATATTTTCCTAATTTAGATTTCTGATTCATGTTTAGATATCTGGTCGGCAACCACGTCATTCAGATAACGAATAGATTGTTATAGTCCTGTAAGTTTGTCTTTTTTATTTATTTTTAAACTTACTTTATGATAAATTTAACTGCTCCTTCTAGAAATATTTCTGTTGTTTTAACATGACTGACTGTAGCTGACTGCTGACAAAAACTTTGAGCGATAAGACGCAAATTAATTGATTGGATCAAAAACAAATATATAAAAGAAATGTTATATAAGTATGTGCTGATCGTTTGCATAAAACGAATATAAAACTAAACAAATAACAAAAGCAATACGAAATGACGTTAGTGTATTTATTGTTATGTATGAGGTATTAAACTGTAATAATAGCAATCAAATAAATGCAGTGCAGTTTGGATAGCTGGAAAACTTTTGAATCAATGATGTCTTTATAATTGACAATAAGACCTTTTTGTATGAATAGAAACTTTATTGGAGGTTATACGCTTCTTTGGGCATGACTGAATAACATATTTTCATTTGCTTATAAATATATTTGAGGGATTATTGTCTGTTGTTAACTACAAACAAGAAATAAACACTTGTTTTCTGTTTGCAACTGTATTTTGTCTCTATGTTGGCATGGTTGGCAGCAGTATATAATAGATTTTGGCGAATAATCAAATGAACTATAAACTATATGCAATAAATACATTTATCTATCGATGTATTGATATAGATAATGAATAAAATTTGAAATTGAGATATACATAATACTTGTGTCAATAACGTATCACTTGAAAATAGATTACACATCTGAAAAACAAACATAACAATAACAATTTAAAGAAACTAAAAATAGAGACATATTGAAACGGTTATCCGCTGTGTGTTAGTAACAAGACGAGTGACGCATTTGGAGCATGATCTGCTTACCCTTCCGGAGCACATGATATCACACCCGGTTTTTTGTGGGGTTCGTGTTGCTCAGTCTTTAGTTTTCTATGTTGTGTTAGACTGTATTATATTGCATTTTCGTTTAACATAAACATGCATTTTTGAATCTTCTGATTAGATTCTGGCCTCACGCATCACTGAAAAACATATATTGTCGAAATGCGCATCTGGTGCAGAAAAATTGATACCGTTATTGTTATTACACAATGTCACGATATGAGAATAACGCTTCGATCACTTGGTCCTAGCTAGTCGACAAACAGAAAGGAAATTTACATATTTCAATTTAGGTTTCTGATTAGTAAATAAGTCAATCAGAAATTCAAGATGAAGAACTGGTGGTAGGATTCGAGGATTCGTTCATACTTTGATGATTTTGAAAGCTCGTGCTTGCTGTTTTATTAAAAAAAAGTTGCAGAACTTGTAGTTCATTGGTGTAGTAACAGTGTGCCCATCTATATACATATCTTCTAACAAAATGCAGGTTTTCATAAATTTAAATGACATTAAAAGTGTGAGCAATCATAAAGTGAATAGATTCAAAAGTATACCGGTTAAATCAATAAAAGCCTAAAGACTACTTTGACTTCTATACACGCTTTTACACTTATGTAAGTTAATTTCATTTATATTCTAAATTGCACAAATTCTAAATTAATTTGTATGAGGCTTTGTATTTTATTTGACATGTTTGATAATGACTGATAAATGATCTGCACACAAACGTTAAATCGTTTTATCGACAATCTTTCAAGTAGTAAGTAAAACACATCCCATCCAATGCCAGTAAGATGCATATATATATATATATATATATATATATATATATATATATATATATGTATGTCTGCCTATGTGTAGTGACAACTGTAAATTATACCTTGTCCATCGGATTTCTTATGATTAAGAAATGCCAGGCTTTAGAATATTTATAAAGTGCCTAGAAAATCAACCTAACAATGTTAGAGTAGATTTGATTCTTTACTTCCTCCCCAAGCGGGGCTGGAACCTGTACTTTTCACTTCATACTTCTACGGCAACACCATATATATATATATATTTCCAGCGATTCTGTTTTTCAACAGATCAAGATTAAAGGGTGAGGAATGAGAGCTCAGATCACTGGTTTAACGTAACCACGGGAACATGTGCATGACCCAATACAGCAAACTCGTCAGTGGTTGTCGGTTGTAACACATTTAAAATATTTTTATTATTTGGAGAGTTGATGATAGATCTTTGATTGTATCTGTGAAACTCATTTACAATTATTAGAGAGCTTGATATAATATAAATCGTTATCTACTGTAACAAAGTGGCTGTAAATAATCATAAAATGTTTTTCATTGATAAACCTTTCATAACAAGATATAACATACATAAGTAAAATGTAGATAATTCACAAAATCATATTTGCACAGCAACTTCCTACATTTCCGATAAAGAAGATACAAATTTGAATGATTTGATAAATTTATGACAAAGAAATTAAGCTGACAAAATGACCTTAAGTATGAACACCATGCTATTTTACGAAATTCGTAAATAAAATATAAATATACACATTTGGACATATACTTTTAGAGTAGAAGAATGGATCAATCCCAGCAGAATTATTTACGGATTGTGGCAGTTGTTTACGGACCAGGTGTAAATGCAGTTCGTTCTTACTTCGACAGATGCTTTCCACCTAATTTGCTAAACATTCAGCTTTCAAACGTGTTAAGAAAAGGACTTGAAGCTCTGAAACAAAAGAAAGTTCTGAGTAACGCTCAGTGGAATATCTTATTTCCAGCAAATGGTATGTCGGTTTTAATTGATTTCTTTGGAAGTAGTTCTAGAAAGACATTTTTAAAAATAATAAGAATAAGGAAACAATATTGTATGGTATGATTCCCAATGAGACAACTATCCATAAAAACTAAAGGACAAAGATTTGAACAATTACAGGTCACCTTTGATTAAAACACATACCATATAATGAGCTATGAAAGGCCACGGGGTGACAGAATGTGAAACAATGGAAAAGAAAAAAACCCATTTTCTTAATAAATTTTCACAAAAACAAGGAAAACAATACGGACAGACAGCAACCAATGAAGAACACTGGATTACAGGTTCCTGGTTTTTGACTCAGACTTATAGATCAATCAATCAAAAAACAAGATTTGGTGTTTCAAGCACTGTTGTGTACAGACTCAGAACTTAACTAATCAAAATGCTGGATTTGGTATTTGGAGCTAAAATTTTGTACTCCGAGTACTGAGTAAAATTTTATAACCGAGAGCCCAGTATATTTTACTCAGAATTGTTGCTCAGTCCTAAATTTTCTGTAAAGGGTTTTGTAGAATGTTGTTTGCTTTTTCTTGTCGGTTTTTTTTTCCTATTGTGTAATGGTATTGTCTTTTTTCTTCGACATAAAGGATTGTTGATTGTTCAATTGGTGTATTCTGTTTCTTTGGTAAAGTTCAAAAATATAATTGTTAATTGTTTTTATTGGCTTTTATGATTTATTTGGCTTCATTACACAATAGCTTCATTATACCAAACTGCTTCATGTCCATCATGACTTGAAACTATAATGAAGTATTTTGAGGGAAATGGTTTCCCAAAGGAATATGACGAAAGGATGATTGTGCCGCTTTTTTTACCTTATCAAGATGTACATTCTACACAAGATGCGCATTTCAGCAAATAATACCCCTTTAATGATGATCGGGGTCAAATTATTTGAAAATCCAAAACTTCATACAAACGCGTAAACGCTGATAAAACCAAAAATGGACGACACAACAAACAGACTAAGTCCTAAATCGGTAACAGTAGTTATCATCTGGGTAATTATCGTGACCATTATATCACAGGTTTCCAGGAGTATAAAAATATCCAAGTATCGTAAACTTCATGAGAGCTTAAACTGTAACTATTAGGATTACCTTGGTAATTAATTTGATCTTCTTCATTTCTTTATTTTTGCAGGCAGTGCTTGTTCAGCTACGTTTGATCTTGCGCTAATGACGCTTTTGCTACGACATTTTCATATCAAGAAGGAACCCAAGGATGGATACGACAGGCTTCCAGGGGAAGAAGATCAAACGCCTGCTGCTGATTTGGCTAGGATAAAGTGTTATAGAAATGCCATAGCGCATTCAAAGGATGGAACAATTGATGATGAAAGTTTTAAAGATGTGTGGAAACAGTTATACGATGTAAGTTATTTTTTATTGTTGGCAAATTATACTATATTTTTATTTTCTAATATGTGTTTCTCGTTACCTAAAAAATGCTATTTATCAAAGGATCAGATGATCATGCTGAAGAAAACAATCTCGTTTTAATATATATATAATCTGTCAATTGAAAAGGTTAGGAGTGCGTACTCAACGTTTAGAGAGTCTAGTTTAACAAACGTATATCACGAATAACTACAAATTATAAACTTTGTGCTTCAATTCATAGGTAGTAGACAGATTAGGCAGTGCTGTTTTAAAACAACAATGCGAATTATTAGGAATGGCAGATTTGAACATGGCATATAAGTCTCAATGTGAAGAACTTTCTAGAAATATTACAACATTGAAAGAACATGTAGCAGCGCTTGATTCTCAGCAAGACCAACTGGCTGGTGATTCGATGCAACAAAAAACAATTTCAAAAGAAAATAAGAACATGATTAAAGAAATCATAGACGATATTAAAATGCAGGAACAGGCGACCCGTATTCTGGAGGAACGTATGAAAATTCAACTGGACGACATTTCAAAACGCCTTAATTCAAAGCAAAGTACTATTCCTCGTAATGTGGAAGGTACGTGTTTCACCTCTTTTAATTTGGAATAGATATTAATATTTATTTTAGATGAAAAAATGTTTACTGCATAGACTATTTCAGGACAAACTCGGGATTCCTGTTCAAAAATTGTAAATAGAAAATTTCAGGTCAATACAAGTATCCATTGTAAAAATTGACTTTTGGACTTTTTTGGCTTTATCAGCTTTTCAACGTTTCTATTAGGTTTTTTTTTACTTTGGAATATTTTGACATCGAGCATCACTGAAGAGAAAATAATGAGGATCGGGATGGGGTTTACAGAATAGAGAATAACGGCCAAAAAAAATAATTAATACAGAGGAAAAAATAGCAAAAAATGTAAAGAATGGAGAATAATTGGGTAAAAAGGAACAATGAATAACATGTTAACAATATACTGATTACAGAAATGAAAGAAGTACAGAAATCATCTACTTAAAGAAAAAAATAATATTAAATTCATTTTCATGAGAATTTTACAAAATATGCGTTATTTTTAAAGATAAAGAAAAATGCCCTTAAAATCTAAAGAATACAAAATTAAGGACCCCCCCGTCCAGACCCTCATAAATTGTCTAAATGCGCATCATGTGCAGTAGAATTGATACAGTTAATGTTATTATGCAATGCATTCTCCTTATGGAAATACAACTTAGATTGAACCAATATTGGAAAATATAATTCTGATAAATATTTCTATATTGATACTATTTCAGCAAAAATAGTGCGCCAGATAAAAACTTGGATAGAAGACGAACAGAGTTATGTTATTATTGAAGCTGCAGTTGATGCATTTGATCTTCTTAAGACGCATTCTTCCTTAACAGTTGCAGGAAACGCAGGTAGCGGAAAAACTGCTTTCATAAGACATTTAGCACTACGTTTTATGTCACAAGGCTATGAAATAGTTCCAGTTATAGAGCCAAAAACAATTGTAGACTACTATGACGAAACCATAAAGCAAGTTTTTATTCTGGATGATGCATGTGGGGTGCATACAATAGATGGGAGGAAACGCATGTCTTGGTTGGATTATGGTCAGATAATCCAAACTTGTTTGTTGCAATCTGGCTCTCTGCTGTTAGTTTCAGTAAGGCTTTCTATACTCAACAGCGAACTTTTTGAGGATCTGAAAGTTTTGTCACAAAACGTGATTAATTTAAAAGATAAAAAGTACGCACTGTCCTATATAAACAGACAAGACATCTTTCAATCATATTTCAAGAGGGATCATAAAAAACTCGGTATAACTGACAAATCTTTACTAATGCACGATTCATTTCCTTTGCTATGTCGATTGTCTTGTCGTTCATTTCTAACAGTGGCAGACAACAAAGTCACTTTGCTCACAAAATCATACAACGACATTAAAGATTTAGATTTTTTTTTTCAAACTCCTATTCAAGTAATTGAGAGCGAAGTGAAAGCCATGAGAATTGATTCACCAATTAGTTATTGTCTTCTAGTACTTTGCTTACTTTTTAACGGTAAATTGCCAAAGCTGGATCTTTCCTTCTCAAACAGACATAAAAATCTATTTGAAGATTGTTATAGTGTATGTGGATTGAATAAAGGGACTCCCATCAAAGATCTCACTGATATAGCTAAAAATTTGACAGATGTATATCTAAAAGAAGTTGATGGTACACTTGTATTCATACATGACATTATCATGGATATTGTGTCAGTTTGCTTTGGGGAGCAATCCCCAGATATCATTCTCAAATATGCTGACATAGAGGTCATAATTAACAGAGTGCTATTGAAAAATATAAATACTGAAACAACTGGGTATAAAGTTTTAATCCCAGAATATTATCACGTCGATTTTTTTCATAGACTTTATAAAGAAATTGGAAAAGGAAATGCTTGGCAGATTTTCAATCACTGCCAGTTAGAAATTCAATGGGTTCAAAAATCATTGACAAACTATTTTGAAACAAAAAGTGATGATGAATTGCGGTATATATTTTTTCAAGTTGAAGACAAACAAAGGGACCATTATCAGAAACTCAATTTGAAACTTATGGACATGTGGGCCCAAGCGCTAGATACAAAACCGGTTAAATTAGAATGTCATACATTACTTGAATTGATTGTAAACAATGCATTCCATTGGCTCCTTGGAAAAGGTCTTTTTAGAATAATAACGTTGTTAGAGAGAAGGGTATGTGGCGAAGTATACAAGGAATTGAAAGCTGACAGCTTGTGCACATTTATCGCTATTTTAGGAGGAAACCTTAAAATCTATTCTTGGATATTGAATATTAAAGATGTTGGTAAACTATGGCAAAATTTGAAGAATATAATGTTCAGAAATAAACAGTTAAAGGGCGATTTTCAATGGGCATTGATGACAGGTCAAACAGATATCGTGGGGTATCTTATTAGCAAAGAATTATGTCCAACCTGCATTAACGAATCGATAACACCTTATGACATGCTTAAAATAATCGCAAAACTATTCAGATTTTCGGTTTATAAAGTAAGAATAATATTGTTCTTGAGTAAACTGGTGGTAAAACTATCAAAACTAATTCGGAAATACGGACGGATTAACTATAATCTTGAAAATTTACTGTTTTACTCAGAATTAGCATGCACTTTGTTCTATACTGAAGACGAAAGTTTTAATCATTTGATATTGAAGAAGTTTAAATCTGAGATCGAACCGATAGTCGTAAAACTATATAAGCACAGAGTAGAGTTTCGGTGTTCTCGGTTTCCACTACCAGGAAATATTTTTGATGATGTGTTTGGTCGTTTGGAAGCCGAAAGAACATACCTAGCATTAGCGGCAATACATGGACATGAATCTGTTACAAACTTGTTATTACTTAAAGGTGCAAATCCAAATAAAATAATTCTCCCATCGAACAATGTTGCAAAACTATGCACAACATTGCCAATAGTTCACGCAGCAATGTATGGAAAATTAGAAATTGTAAAAAATTTGCTTCAGTATGGTGCTCAAATTGAATCAACAGGTCCTAAAGGTTGTACATTACTAATGCTAGCATCTAGTTATGGGCATTATAACGTAGCACAATTCTTATTAGATAAACACATTGCAATAGATGTTAAAAACAGTTGTCATAACACTGCGTTGTTGTATGCATCGAAAAAAGGACACGCAAGTATTGTACAACTGCTTTTGGAACATGGAGCTATCGTAAATACTGTATGTCATAGATCATCAACACCATTGATTGAAGCTGCAAGTGGTGGCTACTTTGAAACTACCGAGAAGTTACTGCATTACAACGCATCTGTTAATGCTTGCGATAACAAAGCAATGAACGCATTAATAAAAGCATCCATGAATGGACATTTTGAAATTGTAAAACTACTTGTAACTTACCAAGCCGTTGTAAATCTTCAAACAGACGACAACGAAACAGCGTTGACACTTGCTGCTAAAAATGGTCATTTGAACGTTGTGTCTTTTCTCATGAGTTATTCATACCAGTGTGTAAATGATCATTATACATCCAAGGAGGGGAAAGTATCCGCTTTTGAAAATGAAAACCGTGTCAATTTTTCGCAGTTGCCGTTTTTTATGTCACATCTGTTTCAAATTACCAATGAAAGTAATGAAGTTAATCTAGCATTCTTAAATGCTTATCGAAATAAACACATGAGTGTCTTGAAATTACTTATTGAAAATGGTGCTGATGTACAAATGAAATATAGTGAATCGTTGACATTATTAAATGAAGCAGCGTCCAAAGGGGAATATGAAATCGTCAATTTACTTCTAGTAAATGGAGCATCAGTACAAAAAAGAGGAAATTTTGGAGTTTCACCTCTGTTGTCAGCTTCGTCTGAAGACCACACTGACATCATCAAACTTCTGTTAAAACATGGCTCCGATAAAAACTCAAAAACAGATATGCTTCCCATTTCCCTTACACTTTTAGAGGCCATCTATTGGATTCAAGACAATTGCAATAAATCTAATTTCCAAAATCTAACTGCATTTAATGATCACAGTGCTACTGCATTGATCTATGCAGCACGAAATGAAACTTCCGAATCATTAGAGGTATTATTACAAGATAAAAATATTAACATCAATTCTCAGACATTCATGGGAAGAACTGCTTTAATGGTTGCTTGTGGTAAACAGAGCGAGGATATTGTAGATTTACTACTAAAAAACAAGGCAGACGTGAACATTGTGTCTAAATTAGGAGCAACTAGTCTTGATATTGCTTCAGTTCAAAATTGGGGAAATGAAAATATAATTAATTCTTTGTTAAGAAATGGAGCTCTTCATTCTCGAGACTTGAATTCATTTTCAAAAAGTCATGTGCATGCTGTATATTCACGTAACGACCTGGACGAACTATGGTTATTTATACGAATCATTGTTTTACTTTTCCTGACAAAGTATATACCCGTATGCCAGTAGGCAAAATAATTGGGAAACACACATTTATATGAATTAACACCTTTTGAACGTGTTTTGAACAAATATTTACCGCCAGATATACTAGAAATAGATATATCAATGATTGAGGTTTGACATGTACCACTGGATAAAAAAAACATAAGAACAGGCTGATGACAAATGTTATGAGACCATTCTAGGGGTTGTATTTTAAGAGCACAAACATGTTTTGGCAGTGTCTCCGTAAATGACATATTTTGTGGACATTAAATGTTAAACAATCTAAATTTCATAAAAATACGTATTGGGTAAAAAGCATAAACACTCTTTCCACATCACCTAACGCTCTCAAAAAGAGTGGTTTAATTCAAAATTATAAATGTATACAGAGCTTAATGGACAAATGACTATATTAGTAAAATAGATATTCATGATATTTATAATTGCAGTTTGATTAAAATAAAATTTGCTGGTTTCAAGAGGAAATCTGCAATTCAGTTATGTTTAGGAGTAACAAATAATCATTTTTTTTTCCTTTAAAAAATGATCAATCAAAAGTTCAATTTTCTAAATGAATTTACTGATATTGTATTAAAGCAAATAATATCACTTCTATCGCTCATCGCGTATTTTGGGGGTGGGGGAGTCAGGGGAGTCATAGGGTGCGCTCGTACAAACTTTTGAAAGAAAAGTATCAAACGTTTGAAAGCATTTAATCAAGAATGGCTAAAACCGTGTACGGTCAAATTTTGTCTGAAGGAGTTTTAAACTTTGTTTTGGAACAATTCCATAATTTATGAACTGCAAAATAAACCAAATTCATCATTAAGGAATTTTTTATGTCCTTCATAAAACGGCTTAAAATACACGGAAATGTGGCTGAAAATCAACTTATATTTATTTTTTATTCATTCACATATTTGTATAAATATATCAAGAAATACAAAGGTTCGTCTTTAGTGTAAACCATTTGTAATTATATTTTTCTTATATGAATGAACATCATTTGATTTGTAAAGATATGTTAGAGATGATTCTAATAGTTAAGAATGAAAAATAATCATCTTTGATTGAATACATGCATGCTACCCTTCTACAGCAACCTCCACTAATAGTTTAAGACGAAAGTCGTTTACCGATGTTCAGATCTAGTAAATAGATTAAGAAGAGACAACAACCATACATTCGGTTAAGATTTACTGGTCTTGTAACAATTACAGTTTTGTATACCCCCACCGCAGCGGAGGGGGCATTGAGTGTTACCCTTGTCCGTTCGTACATCCGTACGTCCCGAAATTGGTTTCTGTTCTCTATCTTTAACCTCAAACAAATGTTCTGAAACTTATGCACAATGATTATTACCACAAAACACAGATCAAGTTTGAATTTGGGTTGCGTCACTTTTACCATTCTAGAGTTATGTCCCTTTACAAATGGAAATTTGCTGAATTTTTCGATTCCGTTCTCTAACTAAAGTTTGTCTCAATCAAATGTTATGAAACTTATACACAATGCTTATTACCACAAAACTCAGATAAAGTTTGAATTTGGGCGGCGTCACTTTTATCGTTCTTGAGTTATATCCCTTTATAACGTTATATGCAACTGGGGTCATCATCTGTGTCCCATGGACACATTCTCCATTTATTTTCGTGATATTTTATTGGGACGAGCACTAGTTACCGTCACTTCATGGTAGAAAATTCAACTTGATCTGGACACGTATGTCATATTTAGTCATTAACCAGCAAGAGGGGAAATTGTATTTAAACGAACAAAAATCATCGTCATTACATCTATAACATCGGCAGTTATTCGTCCTTCTCGAAATCAGAATATAACATGAATTTATGAATAAAAATCAAGAAATAACCCTATATTGAGGAGGCGCATCTAGTTTTATTTAGAAGTTTACAATCTTTTGTAATTAAAAATGTGTATTCTAAAGCCAGCTTAGATATTGTATTATCTGAAAACTGTTCTTCATCTCCATAGTAATGTTATGAAATCAAGACCCTACAAGAGTATCTATCCACGACAGGTTACAACACCATAAAATTCGGTATTTCCTTGTTTTAATCGGATCAAACATCCATATTTTTTTAACAAATGAAATAAAAATATGTGTCCGAAGATAAAAGCAGAATGCGGTATTGAAGAAACGTGTAATAACTCCAGTATGCTTTGAATTATACACTCCAACTCGTAGATCGGTTAGTATACTTTAATCGTTTACAGTTCGTAACTTTCCCAGCTCTTTTAAGGAATAGTCTGATATTTTGTATGGGACTTAATAATGTTGCGTTTTACAGTGGACGCGATTAATATCCACCGGACAGTCATTCATTGATAATACTTTGCATTTTTTATACCTACTGAGCATTAAACTTTTCGTAAATATCTAATAATATGAAACCGAGTAGGGTGTGTGTTTTGCACGACATTGCGTACTTTAATCGTTTACAGTTCGTAACTTTCCCAGCTCTTTTAAGGAATAGTCTGATATTTTGTATGGGACTTAATAATGTTGCGTTTTACAGTGGACGCGATTAATATCCACCGGACAGTCATTCATTGATAATACTTTGCATTTTTTATACCTACTGAGCATTAAACTTTTCGTAAATATCTAATAATATGAAACCGAGAAGGGTGTGTGTTTTGCACGACATTGCGTACAACTTTGTTTGGGACACTTTGCCATACTTGGAAGATAGTTCAATATAGAACGGGAAAATAAAAATTGTAATTTATGTAAACTAGACATTGGGGATGAATTTCATTACATTATAAATTGTTCTCATTTTATGGAAAAGAGAAATCTATGAATAAAAAAAAATAGATAGAAGGCATAATTTTATACTCTTTACTGAAATTATATCTTCTACAAACTTAACAGATCTCATGAATTTATGTAAGTTTATAAGAATTATAAACAAGCGAGTATGTCCTCCTGAATAAATTGAAATTGTTTCTTGCTGTTGTATATTAATGTGATGTTATACATGTCTCTGTCTTTTATGTACTTGTGTATTTGGTGATAAGAATAAAGTTGAATATATAAAGTTGTAACTATACTCTACAATACTTTTTATTCGATTGCTTGCGTTGGCCTATCATAGCACAGCTGTTGACTATCAAAAGAGAAAAGTAATTTCATTTGAAATACTCTTTGGTGTCTTCCGCCTCTCTTTACAAACTGACAAAAATAGAGTAATAAATTCAATAATCATAATGTGTCGATACTATATATCGATAGTTGAACTATAATCAAGATGTTGCATTGCATTTATAAACATTATTTAAAAGATTTTTTTCTTGTAATTTATTAAAGAAACATTTCAAACAGAAGCAAATCAAAACAATGACAGAAAACTGACGGATCCGATAACCAATTTTTTTTTTGTAATTCATTCAGTAAATAATTGAGACAAAACATAATTTCTTCTTGTACAATTATTTTATTTGAATATTTTGAAGATAGAAAAAAATAGCTCTATTATTTTTTGTTCTATTTTATTACGATCGCTTTACATTCATGTGTTTATATAATAATTACTTAATAATACACAACGGGTTTAAGGCTTATAATATTTGTTATTAAATGAATACTATTAAAATTACGCCAATAATATTCTTATGTGAAATGCAGCAACCGATATTAAGTGAAGGAAGGTATTATTTCTTATCTGCAGGTTAAGTCCGTTGATCTTGGAAACTAACTGCGAGCATTCTTTATTACTATGTAATTTGTTTGTCTTTTTGCGTTTTGGGATATCTACGTATACTAGACCGTTATTGAATATCGGCTTCACAGATGACGACGGATATGTTACAATTGTCGTAACCACTATCCCTTCCTCTTTTTCCACAAATGTGACCTACCGAGTTAAACTCATCACCGGGTTTGTACTTACATGGGCAACAAGACGAGTGCCACGTGTGGATCAGGATGTGCTTACCCTTCAGAAGTACTACCTGGGAATTCTCCCAGCTTTTGTTGGGGTTCGTGTTGCTCAGTCTTTAGTTTTCTATGTTGTGTTTTATTTTTCGATTTTTACCATGGCGTTGTCACTTTATTTTTGACTTGTGAGTTTGAATGTCCCCTTGGTAGTTTTCGCCACTCTTTTATTCAATTGTTCAGTGCTTTTCCTGTAAGGTTTTATTGGTTTTTTTACGCTTTGTTAATCTCATGTTTGAAATTAAAAAGGGGGAAGGTGGAGAGGGAAATTCCAGTGTACCACCGACACATCATCCATTTGCCTGTTTCAGAAACTTCGTACGTAGTAATCTTATGTCACATCTTGAAGTAATATTTCAAAACCTTCATTATGTTTATCTCAATGTTTTTATCTTGGTGTAAAATGTTCCGTCCGTTAATAAGTCTATTTTGTGTAGCGTGCGCATATCGTTTTCAGTGGTCTGAATAGAAATAAGAAGATATGTGGTATGAGTGCCAATGAGACAACTGTGTAGCGTGCGCATATCGTTTTCAGTGGTCTGAATAGAAATAAGAAGATATGTGGTATGGGTGCCAATGAGACAACTCTCCATCCAAGTCACAATGTGTAAAAAGTAAACAATTATAGGTCAAAGTACGTCCTTCAACGAAGCCTTGGCTCACTCCGAACAGGAATCTATAAAGGGTCCCAAAATGACTAGTGTAAAACAATCTAAACAGGAAAACCAACGGTCTAATCCATATATAAAAAGAGAAACTAGAAACACTTATGCACCACATCAACAAACGACAACCACTGAACAACAGGCTCCTGACTTAGGACAGGTACATAAAAATGCAGCGGGTTTATATAAACGTTTTAACAGGCGCAAACCTTCACCCTAAACTGAAACAGTAGTGTAACATTAAAACATAAAAAGACACACTATAAAATATCAATTGAAATGACTTAACTCGATCAAAAATACATATAAACAAAAACAAGCAAACATACACTGAAGGAATAAATTTGATCTATAACACAATATAAATACAATATTAATAAAAGAAGATGTAAAACAATGTCAGAAAGACAACTATAACCTGGGACAAAATGGCGTCAAATAAAATAACGTACACAGGTGAATTTAAATATGATAATTTTTAATAAATAAATTTGGTGTATTTACTGTCTTCCAATTGGTTAAAAGTATTACCTATATTTTCAATGTTGTCAATTTTTATGGCGACACGCCCACTCTGACGTTGTGTATTCATACGCCAACATGTGTGTACATTGTTATTCTTAATATAAATAATATAAAAAGCTCTTTGAGCCTTATTTTTGATAGAAATTTACCTATAATGAATGACAATAATTTATTTTGAATTTATTGAACCATAAAATTAATTTTTGACTCTTCACATTTTACATAATCCGCTTCGCGGATTATTCAATGTGAAGAGTCAAAAATTAATTTTATGGTTCAATAAATTCAAAATAAATAATAGCCATTCATTAAATGTTTACTTTCTCTTAAACCTCGCGAAAAATATAGCATGGATGGATGCGTTCCAGTATAGTATGTATTGAAAATCGAAATTTTCGTATGTTTGAACATAACAATGACATCTTCGTCCAATTAGAGAACAGATCAGCGACAACTCCCACGCTGTTACTATAGTGTATCATCATTATGGTCGAAGGTTATGAATTCGAAACTATATCGACTAGTACTGTGTCGGGGATAATATAAATCATTGTTCCTGATCATGCACAGACATTACTAACTTAGGCTTTAAATTTGGCAATATAACAGACCACACCAACTGCCATCACATTTTGACTTCTCCGATAAATAAGACTGGCGTACAAAATAAAAACAACCGACATCGAATATTACTAGGTCCAGATAGCCTCACGTAGTACAAGCACAAAACATTTGCTGGGTCAAACCAGTTTAACGTGCACTTAAACCTCCCTTTCATCCATTTATATCGTGTCGTACAAGTAAAATACACAGTAACTAATTTAAACTAAGAAATAAAACAAGGAACATAATTTGGAAAGCAGATTATTAAAATCTGCTCGCTACTACATAAAATAAAAAGGTTTCCATAACTGTTGGAAGAATACTGCCGCTCAAGAAAACACTAATATAAGAACAACACTCCAACCAGTTTCATGAAAACTGAAATTCAGTATTTGTGATAGGCCAGTAAGTTTTTAAAATCGTTAGAACATCGCAAAGAGAGAACCATTTCAAAGGAATGTATTAGTATATCACGCTGGTAGGCTTTGCTGTTGACAGATGTAAGAACTTTTCAGAGTTTACATATATAATGTCATTGATTAAGAAAGTTCTATTCGCGATATTACAATGGAAGTATGGGTGAGAAATACAGTCTGTTAATTTTTTACGAGAAACCCTTACTGTTTACACCATATTCTTTTATAGACAAAATATTGATAAAGACCTTTTTTTAATTAACAATATATATGTGGTACATATGTATCAGTTACACTATAAAGGTGACTTTTTGTAAAAGCAACCAAACAAATTCAGTGCAAATATGAAAATAAGAAGATACGGTATGATTGCCAATGAGGCAACTCTTCACCAGAGACCGGACAAATAACATAGAAGTTAACAACTATAGGTCACCATACCGACTTCAACAATGAGCAAAACACATACCGCATAGTAAACTATAATAAAAGGCCCCGAAATGAATAATGTAAAACAATTCATAAACAAGAAAACTAACGGCCTGACGGTACGCTCATAAAAGTCGGTTTTATCAAAACTCATTATAGTAGCCCAAACAAGCTAGTCCAGGTATCTAATATATCCTGGGACTTAATATGAATATATATTAGATCAAAATTATAACCATGGAGAGACATATATTGTATCCAAATGTCTCTGGTGAAACATATCTTCTACTTCTCTTCTACTTCTACTATATACAATGCAGTGACAACCTTCAACAAATTGAAGATCATGTCACAGGTTTGTCTTTTTTTGTGGCAGTTCTTTGTTGATCTTAGGTATTACATCTTTTCTATGTACTATTTTATATAGCATTACCAATCGTGAATATTTACTTCTGTCAGAGAGGCTGTGCCATTCAATGTAATTTAACATGTTACCAATGCTTGAGGTGATTCTGTATTTGTTGGTTACAAAACGGGCAACCCTTCTTTGAACTTTTTCAATGCTATGTCTTGTTGTAAGCTAGGGTCCCAAACAGAGCACGCATATGGCCTTACTAGGGACTTGTATGCCTGCTCTTTACATGATTGATGTTGAGCTAATATTCAGGTTCCTCCTTAGAAATCATAGAGTGCTATTAGCTTTCTTGCATATATTGTTTATGTCTTCATCTCATTTAAGGTTATAGCTGATAGCTACCCCAAGATATTTTGCTGTTGTAACGTGTTCTTACGATTATTGTGCAATGTGCAGTAAAATTTGATTGTTTTTTTTTTATAAATTATGGTGACTGAAATAACATTACATTAATCTGAGTGTAACGCCAATTTTCATTGTGTTTCCCATGATGCCAATATGTTAAGATCCTTGTGTAACAGTGTAATGTAGATTTAATTGTCATATAAACTATAGTGCCATCTGCAAAAAAACTCACAGTAGATGTAAGACCGGTTGGAATATCGTTTATGCAGTACAAGAAAAGACTTACCCCTGACTTATTTGTTACACAATCAGATTTTTCCCCTTCAAAACTACTGCTTGTTTGATGCCATATTAATTCCCCCTGTATCCTGCTATGGTGAAGTCTGTTAATGAGAAGTGAATCTGAAACTTTATGGAACGCTTTTGAAAAATTCTTGACCAAAATATCTGTTTGTTTACCATTTTCAATGTCATGGGGACAATCGTTAACTTTGTTATCCGGGGAGGGAGGATTTTTTGCAGATTGATTGACAACATATTTGTTACGTTTGGAGGACGTGTTTTTCAACAAACAATCGGCATTCCCATGAGAACCAACTGTTCTCCTCTTCTTGCCGACTTATTCCTTTATTCATATGAGGCTGACTTCATACAGGGACTTCTTAGGAAGAAAGAAAAGAAGTTAGCAGTATCCTTTAACTTCACATTCCGCTATATAGATGATGTTCTCTCACTAAATAATTCAAATTTGGTGAATATGTTAAACGCATCAACAGATAAAATTAAGTCAGTCGGCCTCATATCTTGACTTACATCTAGAAATTGACAATGATGTTCGGTTGAAAACAAAACTTTATGACAAAAGAGATGATTTCAGCTTCCCAATTGTGAACTTTCCATTTCTATGTAGCAACATTCCAGCAGCGCCTGCATACGCAGTATATATCTCCCAGTTGATACGAAACTGCGAGTCTTATATTTCCAATCGAGTGTTGGTAGACGAAATTTACGATTGACATACTTGGGTAGGCCTGCTACGAATGACTCCGACAACAAAGGTAGGCGTGTTATACACCATTGTGTAGATAAATCAATTTAGATTTATGGCATAACAAGTTTTAGTGGGATTGACAACCGAGAAATCAAAATATTAAGGTATATATAAAAAAAAATTCTGAGACAAGTGCCTTCGGTGAAGAATGATCAAGAATAATTATATAAAGTCTGAAGTTATTTAAAATTTTCAGAAAATAGTTATATAGATGTTATTTCAATGAAATATCCAGGCAGAAAACCTGCAAGGTCTTAGGAATTGAAAACGTATCGATATAGTGTGAAAGGAATACCGGATATTCATGGCTATTTCATACCCAATAAAGCAATTAGAACTCTTCAAGGGGAAAGAACTCGTGCTATCTCGCGGGATTTCCGAAGAGAAGCACAAGACCGTCACAAGTAAGCAAAAATAATATTACGTATTTAATTTTAAACTCAGGGCTGCTATCATCTGTTCGAACACACAGGAAAACATTTTGTTATGATTTGTAACATCTTCAATTCACATCATTCGATAAGGCAAAGGACCATATTTCTACACGATAAATGAAACGGACCGAAAGTCACAGGACAGAAAGTAAACAAAAATATAACATTTGAGAAACACATTCTTCTTAGGAAGTTCCATAGGTAATGAGAAGAGGTGGCAACTTCCATAGTGAACATTATGAAAGTGTTGATGATTATAGATGTTAATTTGTTTGTTTCAATAATTAATATGTGTAATATATATTTTTTATGCCAATTATGGAGATAATTTTGGTCTTTAAAATACTGGTCTACCTAGGCTAGACTTAAAAATATTTCTGTTTGCCCAAACCCTACCCACCAGTCTCAGGTGTGGGTAGGTAGGGAAATTTTTTTTTTTTACTTTTAGAGAAAAATAGGGGGAAAATTTATTTTACCTTGTAAACAACTTTTAAAATGAAAGACTATTATAGAGTTTTGTATAAATTGTCAGACACATATATGCCAGGATCTATAATTTTGTACTATAAAGATCTTTTCTATTATCCGTTTTTTTTCAGCATTCATCCTCAATGCTCACACTTTTTTCTGAATGTTAACATTGTAAATACAGACAAACATTTTAAATGAGTTTATACTCAGTACTACGAGAGAAAAATATTTCCCTGAAATAAGAAAAGAGATCACTGATAAAATCACACCAACAAAATGGAACTGCAATAGTACAATTGCTTATAGACTGCAAACAAATGAAAATAGTGAATACATGTATCATAAGTGACATATATATACCGACACAGAGTCTGTCATATAACAATTGTAAGAAATGTAAAGAAGCTCTGGACAAATATTAAAAGCTATGAAAATGAAATTAAATAATTAATAAAAAGGTCCCTGTAAATATGCCATGCATGATACTTTTATTGTTTTATATTTATATGTGCTGTACATATGTTGGAAACAACTTTTTTGTTTTATTCTTTAAAATTTTAAAGTTAAGGAAAAACTCCATATATTTGGAGGGTCTCCTAATTTGAGGAGGCTCATACTAAGAAGAAGAATGGAAGAAGTTTATTTAAATACAAAATTCAAATACAAAACACTTGAACAAAACACTGTTGACAGAACTTCTGTCAGAATAACATCATTTTAATCAAATTTTAATGCAGAATCAAATTCCTGAACAACTTGGATTGGTTCCTCAAAATCGGGCTCAAACAAGTGTCCCGATCGGTCAGAGACAGTCACACAAATTTCATCAGTTTTCCGTAGCATGAAATCGTCATCATACACTTTATCAAACACCTTAGCGTTTTCAAAACGATAGAATTTGTTGGAAACTACGGGTTTTGATTTTAATCCAACCTTTATTTGTACTAGACGGTAACATGTTGTTTTTCATCCGTATCAATTGGAGGCTTTAATACATAACACAAATTGTCCTGTGATAAAGCGCGGTCAGATCGGATCAGGTTATTCTATGCAACAAACTCAAGACGGATACGGATACGACAAAACTCTGCAAAAAAAAAAAACATCACGAATTTTGAATAAAAGAAGATTTTGACTCTGGTGCTTTTTTATGGGTCGGTCGGGTTAGGGCAAACCAACCTATTCTTTTTTATGACCCTACTCCTGATATCTCGGCCCATAACAAACTTGGACTATAACTTTTTTTTTCTTTTTCTTTTTGTTGAGCACTCAGCCACAGGTATTGTTGACACCCATGATGAGAATGATATTGTACAATTTTTTCATGTTATTTTATAGAACTATTTGGCATGATTTGGTGAGATCAAAGAAATCTCTGGTTTTTTTTTAATTTTACTCCAATTCTATTTTTAGAAATATGTATGATAAATGTTTGCTTCGGCTTGCCTTTATAAAAACATTGTATCTTTTTGATGTGACCATTTAGATATTACTTTTCAATTGGTGAATCAATTAATAAAGAATTACAGATTAATGAAATTGTTAACATTTAGCCATTCACTGTCAATCAAATTTCTCTTTGTTTGTATACCAATTATGAACACCAAGGATTAAACACAATACAAACACACACACACACCAATCATTAAAAGTACAAACGAGAAAATAACAATAATATTTCAAATAGAAGTTAACATGGTTAATTATCCTCATTAAAAAAATATAAAATTCAAACTTATATTTCACTTAAACTGTATCTCATATAAACACATACATTTTGTAGTTTACATGATGGATCTAAGTTTATTTTAATACATTTCTTATATATTTTTTTCAAAAATATTATTATCTCATAAATTGGTATAGAATTTTTTATAAATTAAGTAAATTTTAAAAAAGTCTGAAAAAACAGTTAACACAATCTACTACTCGTAGTCCGAGTTTGTTCAATTTATTTCTTCGTATGAATAATGGTAGGGCGAGTTTGTTATAGTCCGAGTTTGTGATAGTCCGAGTTATCCAGCAGCGGGTATACCAACATGCTTTCCAATCTCAGTACTTAATTTATTTTATATAAAAAAAAGACTAATTTGGTTCAATATTAAGAGATCAATATTCTGACCAGTAGTAGTGAACATTCATAAAAATACCATTGCTGTCAAATATCTAAGTAAATAATGAGGTTTCCCATTAAATAAATCCCCAATTCATTGCAAACAATTTTAAAGCAATATCTTACAAACAAATAATATAATTGCCTCAGACTTAAATTTCCCCTAATTGTCCCTAGTGTGATTTGATTGGCCTATATTGATCCAATGTGTCACATGGTTTGTTGCTATTAGAAAATGAAGGTAAACAAGCGGGGTCAGCTGCTTCAGTTTGTTACAACATCGTACATTCAGTGATTGAGAAACAATTATGTGTAACTAAGCTTGACAATACACGGTAATAAAAAAACAAAGCTGAGTCTACAGAAAAATAAAACAAAAAATGTCCTTAAGTGACCAGAGTACCCTCATTACGGGATAATTATATTGGTAGGACAAAAAAGTCACAATGATAAGTTTAAATTTCAAGTTTACTGTTACATTCATTTTGGTATTTGAAAGGAACTTGTTGAAATGATTTCTTGATTTTATAATGGATTAATTGTGCCTTTGAGTTGCAGGTAATTGTCAGTAGGGCATTTTTATAAAACAAGTAACTTTTCAACAGTTCAATACAGTACACTTTTGACGGATGTGACTTTGTATCCTTAGGCCAGACTTTTTTTATTATCTGTATAAATAGCTTCCGGAATTTTTCTCTTAGAATGTCCAGAAAACAATATAGCGACTTCCGCCAGGGAATCATAGTTTTACATAAAACTTGAAACCAGATCTGTCGATAGAAGTTGATGCTCCTTGAAATTCATTAAATGTTAACGAGATGACATAATTGGTACCATGTGGTCCACAGAATTGGCGGACATGAATGTTAGCATCAGCCGCATTCAAACAAATGATGCCGAAGTGAAACCAGACATGCTTGTCAGTGTTTTAGGGGGTTTTTGGGGTTGTATTTTTCCTTTTTTGTGGGATCCTTTTATATATTGTCAAGGATATTAGTCTCATATAAATCATGATTTTTATACCCCCCCCCCCCCCCCTCCCGTAGCGGTGGGGGCATTAAGTTTTACCCTTGTCCATCTGTACGTACGTACGTCCTAAAATTAGTTTCTGTTCTCTAACTTGAGTTTGCATTAACCAAATGTTAGGAAACTTAAACACAATGCCTATTACCACAAAACACAGATCAAGTTTGAATTTTGGTGGCGTCACTTTAACTGTTCTAGAGTTATGCCCCTTTATAAATGGAAAAATTGCAAAATTTTTAGTTTCCGTTCTCTTACTTAAGTATGCCTCTACCGAATGTTATGAAACTTATACACAATGCTTATTACCACAAAACACAGATCAAGTTTGAATTTTGGTGGCGTAACTTCAACCGTTCTAGAGTTATGCCCCTTTATAAATGGAAAAATTGCAAAATTTTTAGTTTCCGTTCTCTAACTTAAGTATGCCTCAACCGAATGTTATGAAACTAATACACAATGCTTATTACCACAAAACACAGATCAAGTTTGAATTTTGGTGGCGTAACTTTAACTGTTCTAGAGTTATGTCCCTTTATAAATGGAAAAATTGCAAAATTTTTAGTTTCCGTTCTCTAACTTAAGTTTGCCTCAACCAAATGTTATGAAACTTATACACAATGCTTATTACCACAAAACACAGATCAAGACTGAATTTTGGTGGCGTCACTTAAACCGTTCTAGAGTTATGCTCCTTTATAAATGGAAAAATTGCAAAATTTTTATTTTCTTCTAAATATCAAGTAATTTTTAAAATTGGAGTTATCTTCCTTTATCCATGATTATAGTTGAATCAACTACAATCAATGCTTTATACAATGCAATGTTTAATTTTGACTTCCACTGATAAAACACAGATCAAGTTGAATTTGGGAAGTGTCACTTTAAACCAGTATTGAGTTATGCCCCTTTATAAATCGAAAGATTGCAAAATTTTTAGTTTCCATTCTGTAACTTAAGTTTGCCCCAACCAAACATTATGAAACCTATACACAATATTCATTACCACAAAACTCATTATGAAACCTATACACAATATTCATTACCACAAAACTAAGATCAAGTACAGATTTTTTGTATCCTTTTTCTAACTTTAGTTTGCCTCAACCAAATGTTATTAAACTTATACACAATGCTTATTACTACATAATACAGATTAAGTACGAAATTTGGTGGCAACACTTTTACCATTCTTGAGTTATGTCCCTTTATAAACATAAAATTGCTGAATTTTTCGTTTCCGTTCTCTAACTTTAGTTTGATTTGATTTGATTTTTTGGTGTTTTAACGCCACTTTTAAGCACCGCTTTTGGGCTATTTCGTGGCGGCCAGTTTTTATTGGTTGAGGAAGCCGGAGTGCCCAGAGAAAACCACTGACCTATGATAGGAAAACTGACAATCCTAGTCAATTAAGATTGGAGTCGAGTGCACCCGCACGAGCGGGGTTCAAACTCACAACCTCAGTGTTGACTGGCTAGTGATTACAGTAGTAACTACTTAGACCACTCGGCCACCAAGGCCCACCTAACTTTAGTTTGTCTCAACCAAATGATATAAAACTTATACACAACCTTTCTAGAGTTATGCATGTTTACAAATAGAAAAATTGCTGAATTTTTAGTTTCTGTTCTCTACTTAAGATAGCCTCAACCAAATGTTATGAGACTTACACACAATGCTTATTACCACAAAACTCGGATCAAGTTCAAATTTGGGTAGCGTCACTTTTACCGTTCTTCAGTTATGTCCCTTTATAACTATATGATATGCAAGCGGGGGCATCATCTGTGTCCACATGTGGACACTTTCCACATTTATTTATACAAACTTATAAAACATTCATCACTGTATTTAATAAACTTTGTATATTTTAATGTGGTGTTATTGTTGTTTTCTTCATTCATAGAATTATAATGACTTACTTATTTTATTAACTGTGTTTGCCTATGGCTAAAGTAAGTCCAGTAATCAATTGTTTGTCAGTCAGCCAATCGTTCCCAAGAATATTATACCCCCACATCTGTTCATTCGTTCTTCGGCCCGTCCATCCCTCCAACATTTCAGATGCATATAACTCCACTCCTTATATCAAGGATTCAGCTCATATTTGGTTTTGATTCCCCTACCGTACGGCTACGTTGGCATTAAGTTTTACCCTTGTCAGTCCATATGTCTGAAAGTCCCTAAATCAGTTTCCATTCTCTAACTTAAGTGTGTCTTATAAACAGTAAAAATGTTTATATGAGACCTATACACAATGCTTATATATACCACCAAACACAAATCTGACGTTGATATTGTTTAATAGATATAAGAAGATGTGGTATGAGTGCCAATGAGACAACTCTCCATCCAAGTCAAAATTTATAAAAGTAAACCATTATAGGTCACAGTACTGTCTTCAACACGGAGCCTTGGCTCACACCGAACAGTAAGCTATAAGGGGCCCCAAAAATTACTAGTGTAAAACCATTCAAACAGGAAAAACCAACGGTCTAATCTATATAAAAAACAAGAAACGAGAAACACTTATGAACCACATCAACAAACGACAACTACTGAACATCAGATTCCTGACTTTTTTTATTATCTTTTTACTGAGGAAATTTGTCAATATTGTTTACAAATAGAAAAATTGCTGAATTTTTAGTTTCTGTTCTCTACTTAAGATAGCCTCAACCAAATGTTATGAGACTTACACACAATGCTTATTACCACAAAACTCGGATCAAGTTCAAATTTGGGTAGCGTCACTTTTACCGTTCTTCAGTTATGTCCCTTTATAACTATATGATATGCAAGCGGGGGCATCATCTGTGTCCACATGTGGACACTTTCCACATTTATTTATACAAACTTATAAAACATTCATCACTGTATTTAATAAACTTTGTATATTTTAATGTGGTGTTATTGTTGTTTTCTTCATTCATAGAATTATAATGACTTACTTATTTTATTAACTGTGTTTGCCTATGGCTAAAGTAAGTCCAGTAATCAATTGTTTGTCAGTCAGCCAATCGTTCCCAAGAATATTATACCCCCACATCTGTTCATTCGTTCTTCGGCCCGTCCATCCCTCCAACATTTCAGATGCATATAACTCCACTCCTTATATCAAGGATTCAGCTCATATTTGGTTTTGATTCCCCTACCGTACGGCTACGTTGGCATTAAGTTTTACCCTTGTCAGTCCATATGTCTGAAAGTCCCTAAATCAGTTTCCATTCTCTAACTTAAGTGTGTCTTATAAACAGTAAAAATGTTTATATGAGACCTATACACAATGCTTATATATACCACCAAACACAAATCTGACGTTGATATTGTTTAATAGATATAAGAAGATGTGGTATGAGTGCCAATGAGACAACTCTCCATCCAAGTCAAAATTTATAAAAGTAAACCATTATAGGTCACAGTACTGTCTTCAACACGGAGCCTTGGCTCACACCAAACAGTAAGCTATAAGGGGCCCCAAAAATTACTAGTGTAAAACCATTCAAACAGGAAAAACCAACGGTCTAATCTATATAAAAAACAAGAAACGAGAAACACTTATGAACCACATCAACAAACGACAACTACTGAACATCAGATTCCTGACTTTTTTTATTATCTTTTTACTGAGGAAATTTGTCAATATTGTTTACAAATAGAAAAATTGCTGAATTTTTAGTTTCTGTTCTCTACTTAAGATAGCCTCAACCAAATGTTATGAGACTTACACACAATGCTTATTACCACAAAACTCGGATCAAGTTCAAATTTGGGTAGCGTCACTTTTACCGTTCTTCAGTTATGTCCCTTTATAACTATATCAATGTATATATATATATAGCTTTATAGCTTACTGTTTGATGTGAGCCAAGGCTCCGTGTACAATAAATACAATAATGTATATTTGCCTGGATCTGTATTAGAGGCAATACAGAATGAATAAAAACTTATTTTGTGATTTGGTGATGTCTTCGTGCCATTGCCCCATATCCATTCTTTTTCATATTAAACATAGTTAATATTTTCATAACAGATCGATGGGTTTAAGTATTTGTCTGTTCTCATTTCATAGTTCTTGTCATTTAATAAATTTCTAGAAAAAAAAATTGAACACATACGACGATTTTATTTTTATTTATAGTATCGACTGGACAAATTTTGCACTTTTAATTTTATTTTTATTTCGTTCCTTCGACCCTTAATATTGACAAATTTCCTCAGTAAAAAGATAATAAAAAAAGTCTGGCCTTATATACATCGATATACCAAAATCCAAAAATGTAAACAGTTTTAACACAGTTTGATTGAATAAATATGTTATTCAAAGCATTTTAATGGTTTTGAACTACAATATACTTATTTTTATGCCCCTGCCGTAGCAGTGGGGGCATTAAGTTTTACCCTTGTCCATCTGTACGTCCGTACGTACGTCCGTCCGTCCGTATGTACGTCCCAAAATTGGTTCTCGTTCTCTAACTTGAGTTTGCCTCAACCAAATGTTATGAAACTTGTACACAATGCTTATTACCACAAAACACAGATCAAGTGTGAATTTTGGTGGCCTCACTTTAACCGTTCTAGAGTTATGCCCCTTTATAAATGGAAAAATTGCAAAATTTTTAGTTTTCGTTCTTTAACTTAAGTTTCCCTCAACCAAATGTTATGAAACTTATACACAATGCTTATTACCAGAAAACACAGATCAAGTTTGAATTTTGGTGGTGTCACTCTAACCGTTCTAAAGTAATGCCCCTTTATAAATGGAAAAATTGCAAAATTTTTAGTTTCCGTTCTCAAACTTAAGTTTGCCTCAACCAAATGTTATGAAACTTATACACAATGCTTATTACCACAAAACACAGATCAAGTTTGATTTTTTTGTGGCGTCACTTTAACTGTTCTAGAGTTATGCCCCTTTATAAATGGAAAAATTGCAAAATTTTTAGTTTCTGTTCCCTTACTTAAGTTAGCCTCAATAAATGTTATGAGACTTACACACAATGCTTATTACCACAAAACTCAGATCAAGTTCAAATTTGGGTAGCGTCACTTTTACCGTTCTTCAGTTATGTCCCTTTATAACTATATGATATGCAAGCGGGGGCATCATCTGTGTCCACATGTGGACACTATCCACATTTATTTTAAATAAATTTCATTTTAAACTAGTTTTTAAGTGTCTCACTAAAACAACATGAAAATGAATTAAGCGTCAAGAAATCTAGATATGAACTATATCAAACAAAAAAAATATAGAAATATGCATCAAAGTGTTTTTTAACGTACAGTATTTACATATATCTAATTTTGTATGTGACAAAATATTCTGTCTAAATAGGTTAAAATGTTCAGAAATTTTCAGATTAATTAAATAATTTAAACTATTTACAGTATTAACTAATTTAAAGATCATATGGCATACATGAATATTGATCACATTAATGATATGTGTAAATGGTGCTCTTATTAACTTTATAAAACAACAAATACCCAACTGTAATTTATTGACTTTCTATAAATGTATTGTTTTAACAGAATAAACTTTCTTGTTGCTAAATTTGTTTTGTCAGCTTGTTGTTATTTTTTTTTTTCTTGAAGCTCCTTGTCGCTAAAATTCTTCTTGTAGCTAATTAGTGAGACAGTTTTAATTACGTGCATTTGTGTAGTAAATGTACTTTTTTCAATAGTACATGAACATATACGCTGCATATGGTTTATATATTATGTAATCTAAATATCTTTGCTACATTTTTTGTAGAAATGTAAGACATGTAAGAATTAACTTAAGTTGTAATGGACAAGGAAGATTCAGATTCAAATGACAAGGGGTCACCTTCAGATCCTGTTAAATTTATTATTATGGACTCACAGTATGAGTCAGAAGATCCAGATATAATGCATCTACCAGCTCTACAGCACCCAAAAGTAAGTTTTTTCTTTTTGTAAAAAAAATAATACATAGTTCCAAATAGTCAATCTGAAGGTATTTGTGTCTGACAAAACAAGACAAATTTTAATGCAGACTTAAGCAAGCACAAGTAAATTGTATTACACATTGACTTTGTGATGTATGTATGAAAATAGGTCATAGTATGAAAACAGGCCATAGTATGAAAACAAAGGAAATGAAATCTAGGTTTATTCAATAAGAAAAATCAATGACAGGAGTTTTGAACTTGATAGTATGGGGATGCCAGTACAAAATATGTATTTATAGACATGGTCAAGTCACAATTTGTGTGATTCAGTAAAAAACGCAAGAAGCTGGTATGCATGTTCAGTTAGAGAGTACACTGGTAATAAATATGCACCATTTCCATTTTATTATTATTACATTTATGTAACAATTGGTATTGATAAAGACATTTTAGTTTGTTGTGTAGTGTTGTAACACTGATATAATGTATTTGAAATGGAATTGTTATAGGTACAGTCACAAAGAGGAAAAGACAGTCAGTCCAAGATGTTAGAGAACCTAACAAGAACAACTATAGAACAGAGTAAGCTATACACCAAGGATTATATAAAATATGATACTTGTTAGTCTGGTAACATAACACAAAAACACCATGTAAACACCATAATTCTATAGAGTTGGGAGGAGAGACAATTCAGAAGTTTTACAAAGTCTCAAGCACCTAAGCTGTTTTGTATATTTCTGACCTTTGTGTTGATTTAACCTTTCCTCGGTCAAAGGACAAGTGTAAGCAATGGCAGTAAAGGCTGTCTGACTGATGTCCGTTGTAAATTTCAGAATGTCTTTCTGAAAATTACTGTGCCAGTTGGAATTTGATGTGCAAAACATAATTACCTTGTAATTACCTTGTCCACAATCATCATTTCTATGTCTTGCTTCAAATGTATTTGAGGTTTTTCAACCATATTTTGTAAAAAAAATAATTACCCTACTGTTCAGGGCTTCCAAAAAAAATTTGAGCCAGCCGGACATTTCATATCTTATCCCGATTTTAAATCCCTTTAGACTTAGTAAATTAGGCAACTATGATAATCAGTTGGCCATCATATATGATATAACCAATGATTGACATTACAACGATATTAAACTTTACTTTGATATAAATTCGATGTTCTGACGTAAAGTGTTAAATTGAAAGTGCAGCATTCGAAGTGTGCAACATCAGCGTACTAATTATGCCTAATTCCGCTTTAGACTCTTTTATTTGTGCAAAATAACGCTGTCAAAAGCTTTACTTTCGTTTTTAAAATCACATTTTCCTAATGCCGGATGTTGACTTGACAATGGTAAATCACGGATCAGAGACGGATACGTAATATCTGTGTAAGTTTACGATTTAGTTAAGTAGCCTTTTCCAGTTATTTCTTCAAGAAAATACTCGAAATGAACGTTAGATAAAGGTATCAATGATAATTTTAGCATTATTAAAGAATTAGGATGCATAATTAAATTTCCCACCAGCGGACAATAGACACATGCGCACACGTGTACTAGTTCAAACAACGTGGTTCTGACGATTATTCGTTTAAAACCTTTTCAAATTTTTCATCAAATCATATTTATTAACGTATTTCTTATAATTTCAATCTTTTAGACTAAATTAATCAGATGCAACCCGCTGAAATGTAAGAAAATAACTTTGAACACCCTTTAGCGTACCCCAGTATTAAACACGATGTACAGTGTTTTTAAATATAATAATGAATATCATACAAATTCGAATTCATTTATAAATATTCTTATTTGAAGAATTATTTTAAAATCTAAGGATACTTTTTTAAAACTGAATGCTCATGTACAATAATATCTACAAAGCGTAATTAAATAGGATGTTGTTCCATACACGCTTACATGTTTGACCTCGTTTACCTGATCACCTTTATGGTCATTGTTATGCATCATCAATTCTATTGATTAAGACAAGCTAAGGTCTCTCATCAAAGGTAATGACCTGTAATCAGTGAATGATTAATGGCTTCAATATTACTTATTGAAGGGATAATTGTTTGACAGCTTGTTGTTTTTTAAATAAAAGAACAAATGTTTTTTCTACTTTTTATTGATGTACCAAGCCGTGCATTTGTGTACCCAGAGGAATAGACTAACTGAGACACTTCAAAGTATGAAATATGCTGCATCTGTTTAATTAAACCCAAATATGACCGAAATATCTTTGTGAAATAGATTGCCACAATTATAAACTATAATGCCCAAACGGACATTTTTACCGATCGATAGTTGGTAAAAAAAGTGAAATGACCGTTTTATGAAAATGCCTTGAATAACAAAAAGTGGCAAACCTATGATATTTGACCGTTTGAGGCTAAGAGCAGCCGGACTTTTTATATAAATTTCGGTCAAGTCCGGAATATATGACCGTTTTGGAAGCCCTGCTACTGTTAGATCAATACTACAGCAAGTTAAGTCTAAACATCTGAGGGGATTTTGGATTCTCATGCCTCTTATCATAATAAGATTGATTCAACCTTTCGTTTTTGAAAGCTATTGTTTTTATATTACAGAAAGTGCCAATGTTTTAGTGTCTGATAGTGAATATGACAGCCATGGAAAATCTTCAAAAAGGAGATCTGCAAACTCTTCAAGGTGATTAATTATGTCAGTGTTACACATATCAATTCAATACTCAATTATGGGGAAAATGTTGACAGCAAGCTAACATAAACTTCTCCTTTTTATATAATTTCAAATTATGTGCTTTCTATGTTGATTTTTATTTTATAAACTTGTAAAAGATGATTAAATTTTTAATTACATGAAATTTAAAAAGACATAAATATTTAATGCCTGTATGATATGTTATATTTTTACATTCATTGGGTTGCAATGAAATACAGTGATTTCCCAATGAAATAAAAACTGATAATTTCACATGTGAAATAAATCTGATAATTTCACTCCTCTGACGTCATGCAGCAATGGGTGTTGTCAAGACATTGTTGATGATTTTGCATCAAAACAAAATTGAGAACATGTATAATATAGTTCCCTTCAATTTTCTACTTTATTTCAATTAAAATATGTCCATGGTCAATGAATAAAAAGAATAACTAATCCAACAATTGAAATATCAAAAAATATTCAACCCGTGACCGAACAACACTGATAATTTACTCATGTGCATTTGTGAATTAATGTGTTGTTTGATCACCATTTGAATATTTTTCTATATTTGAATTCTTGGATTAGTACTGTAAATTCAGAAATTATTGCGTGCATTTATTATTGCGATTTTTCAAGAATGGACAAAAATGCAAGTTTTATTTTTGCGATTTCGAAAAGTGCATACAGGTCTATATTTCAGTATCAGAATGCGAGTTCTTATTATCATGATTATTGCGATACTCACCCAGTCGCATTATTCGCATTAATAAAAACCTTGCAATAATTTCTGAATTTACAGTATTCTATAATTATATTGAGTTATTAAAGTTCAGTACATGCTTAAATTTAGGCAGCATCAAGAACTGCTTTGGTTAAACATGTTTAATGTGCATATGCATAGAATACTGTGAATCAATTTTTTTCACTGGTACCAAATTTCGTGGGTTGAGAAAATTATATTTTTTTTGGATACTTGATTTTTAGTTTAACAAATTTTACATACATTGAGACTTATAAATTGGTCATTTTTTGTTGGTCACATCAATGCATAAATACATGGTTCCCCTATACTTATAAAATCCATGGGAATGTTTACTGCACAATTAATTATTTATCTACACTAAAACATTTTACTTGTTAGTGACTCAGTTATAATGATTGGTGAATCTGAAGACCATAGTGTGGCTGAATCAGAAGATCAAATGGAAGTTACAGTGATTGAAAGAAAAGGTATAAATACAATCCCTCTCTAAAAGGGGGGGGGGCTATATTGCATACACCTTTGAAAATAGGTTAACTAACTTAAAATGCAATTTTTGAATTTCACTCATTTATTCACTATACCAAAAAGTATTTGACCACCAACCCTAGTTATATAGTATATGAAAAAAGAAAAATGGGAACAACTGATGCAATAAATGGAAAAAAGTCAAAACATTAAGTCAAGTAAAAATTAACAAAAGATTTATTGAATAATAGGTTTCAGTTCTGTGGTATTTTTTAAAAGATTTTATATGTTGTGTCTGAAGTTTCAATTTGTTATCCTTGTCTGAAATTTTCATTTTCTTCCAAAATTTCAGCTGAAGTTAGTAAAGGAGTGGAAAGAGAAGAAAAGTCAGACAGTGGTTCCAGGTAAAATCATTTAAAAGCATAGACAAATATATTGCAAGTCCAAATGAACTAATCGAATTTATTCTCTTGTTTGTACTGTAACAATCATTGATACCATATTTATTTTCACATCATAGGGTTTTAGTGTATGTGCAGATGGAGTTCTCATGCATGCTTATGTTAAGTGGCTTTAATTTGTACACTTTAAAGAAGAATGTTTGCAAAAATGTCGAAAAATTCATTTGAAGAAAGTTTTTGTCACTGGTATTCTTTATAGCATCAGGTTTAATAATTTAATTGATTGATGTTTAACGCCACTTTCAACACTTTTGTGCTATTTCGTGGCGGTCAGTTTTTATTGGTTTAGGAAGCCGGAGTACCCGGAGAGAACCACAGACCTTGGTAGGAAAACTTACAATCCTAGTCAATTAAGATTGGAATCTAGTGCACCTGCCCCGTGCAGGATTTGAACTCACAACCTCAGTGTTGACAGGCTAGTGATATAGTAGTTCGACTACTTAGACCACTGTGCCAAAGAGGCCCCTTTTAATAATTTAAAAATAGGATGTGGTAAATTGAAATCTTTGCAATGATAATAGGATGAGCACATATTAATGTAATTTATCCCATTCTTGATAGTTGATAGTGCAGATGTCATTGCAAATGTAAGTACTATTTTGATGGCATTACTACAGGACATCTTGATTTCGTATATAATTTGACTTTTGATCTATTGAATTTTATTCTTTTTAGCTTTATATCAAACAGCAAACAAGATTTGGGAAAGTATGCAACTGCTGAGATGTCACACTCACAAGGAGCAAAACTTAGAGGTCACCTGTTTCCTAAAAGTATTGATCCCTCTGAGGTGGATTTATTTCCAGATGATGAAGGTATTTTTCAGGTTCCCTTGCATAAGAGAGTCTATCCAAACTTTTAAAGAATATTGTTACTTGTACAATTTATTTTAGTCTAGAAACTTTATTTTTAAATGGATTTGTTTTTTAAATGTGATTTAATTTTGTTTCAATTGATGCAAATGGATTATACAGAATAGTAAGTTATTGAAAAATCTGTTTTTAGTTATAACAGCCACACCTGCTGAACATATTGGAAGTCTACACTTATCACAGCCCATGTTAGTCCCAGAAACTGTAGAGGATGAAATGTAAGTCTGAGTTAAGCTATTTCAGTTGATGTTTTATAGTGTGTCTTTCTATGTTGTGATGTTGCACTATTGTTTCAGAAAAAGGGTGACGGTTTGGTACCATTAAAACGCAATTGTTTGCACCTGTCCTAAGTCAGGAATCTGATGTTCAGTAGTTGTCGTTTGTTGATGTGGTTCATAAGTGTTAATCGTTTCTCGTTTTTTATATAGATTAGACCGTTGATTTTCCCGTTTGAATGGTTTTACACTAGTAATTTTTGGGGCCCTTTATAGCTTGCTGTTCGGTGTGAGCCAAGGCTCCGTGTTGAAGACTGTACTTTGACCTATAATGGTTTACTTTTATAAATTTTGACTTGGATGGAGAGTTGTCTCATTGGCACTCATACCACATCTTCTTATATCTATATACAGCAAGTAAACTACATGTTGATATTTTATGTTCTGTGTCCAGAAATGCACACCATTTCTCTCATTTTTTATCCGGCTTCTGCGTAGTTTGATATTAATATACCAAAATGAAAAACTTCAATTTCTGCAAAATTTGAATTATCGTTTCAGATATTTGTATTTTAAATAAGGGCTGTTCCATAAAACATACATGGGACCCAGGGAAGGCACTTCCAAATCTCAACTATGGGTGGGTGTCATCTATGTTTTTGCATAGTGGGAATTTTAAGTGAAATTTTAATTTGCCTCTATAGGTGGTTACTCCACTTTTAAAGTGCCTTCCCTCGGTACCACGTATGTTCTAATGGAACAGCCCTAAATCAAGACTGGCAGATCTGACTCTCCAGATCCTTGTTATAAATTATAAAAAGCAACAGTTTCTTTTATAAAACTTCAGTACTGTAAATTCCGAAATTAATGCGTTCATTTATTAATGCGATTTTTGAGGAATGGACAAAAATGTGAGATTAATTATTGCGATTTCAGGAAAATCTACATACAGATATATGCGTCAGATATCAAAATGCGAGTTCTTATTATTGCGATACTTACTCAGTCGCAATATTCGCATTAATAAAAGCCTGGCAATAATTTCTGAATTTACAGTATGTGTAATTTCAAACCATGTTCTCCAATATATCAGGATAATATATTAACATGCTTGTTTGATTTCTATTTTTCAGGTTTGCAGTATCTCCATCACAAGACAATTTTCCACATATTATACCTGACTCACCAACTAATGGTAAATATCAAATAGATTTTTTGTTATCCCCTCCACCAAAATGGAAGGTTTTAGGGTGTAATTATTGCGAAAGAAATGAAACCATTCCCAAGAATCAGTACCTGTTCATTTGGGTATTTAAGTTTTTGCAACATGAATTGTCCCATTAATACAATGGATTTTGATCTCTGCAGAGTTCACTTAATGGGAACTTTAAATTTCTTCATGAAAAACAAATCATTCATTGATTAATTTGTCTGTACAAAAAAAATAAACTTCTAGTGATGAAAGTACATGTACTGATCAATACTGAATAATGGCACAAAATATTTAGTGAAACGTTTTTTGATGCAAATGATTCTTAGGGTTTCTTTAAACAAAACATTCATGAATTTACCAGGTTTTTTTTTGTTGTTGCCAGTTTTATATATATTTCATTTGTGTATTCATTTATTGTAATGTATGTTTAACAAATGTTATATTCCTAATATTTTTCAAATGATTGACTATCACAATTTGATTACCATAAAGAAATGATAAATATTGTAGTTTATAATGAAGCTGAAGAGGAATATGACCCTACAGCAGAGCAAACATTGTCAGATCAAAATGTTGATTTTAATGTAAGTCAATGGCTTTGTTCTAATCTGTCAAGAAATTTATTGTACATTTTATTGGAAAATTTGGATACATTTATACTTAATTTTTTGTATGAAGAAAAGGTTGATGAGGTGTATACGTCAATGAGATGACAACCCAACGAAGATAGCAAAACGACATCTGGAGGTCAACTAACCTCTTCAACAAATAAACAGATGTCTCTTTGTTCTGATAAGGGCTATTCCATTAAAATGTATGTGGGAGGGTAGGAAGGGACTTTCAAAATATCCCTACAACCAAGAACCATTTTTTAGATAATTTTGCATAATGGTAATAGACGCATACTGAAATAAGACCTATGACTCACATTCAATAATTAAACTTCCCTTCCTACCCTCCCACATACATTTTAATGGAATAGCCCTAAGGTGTCTGTATAATATATGAAGATCAAGTGTTTTATCTGATCACAAGCCTGTTTGTATACAAAGTCATTATATATTTAAAAAGGTTTTCTTAATATTTAGATCTTTAGTTAATATAATTAATTTAGAGATAAAGACACACAAATCTTTTATTTATTAGTGCTTTTTTTTATCTTTAATTCCTGTATCTTAGAGTATTTCTAAATGAGAGAGAAATTAAAATTTCTATTTTCAATTCAAACTTAGATTTAAGCATTATAATGGGTAAATGAAGGGAAAATTTATATCTTTTTAACAATGTATTTTCAAATGAAATTTATTTAGATGCATTACTTTTTAGGGCACAATTATCAGAAATGTATCTCAGAAGTCTAATAAAAGTAGGTCAGCAACCCAGGAATCATTCCATCTTCACCTCAGTTGTACAGAGAATGAATATTCACCAAAACAGGTACATGTTTGTATTCAAACTTTATCATATTTGTACATTTGAAGTTTCAAGTAACATGGCTTTTTGTAGCTTTTTTTCCTGACATAAAACATAAATAAGCTATTTTTTAACATTGAATACACTTTGTCAGTAGACATTTGTTTTATTTTTTGTCTCTTAAAATTCAAGATTGTTCTAAATAAAATATATAGCTATGAAAATTTGATAGAATAGCATTAAAATCTCGGTCTTTAAATCTTTTTCCATCTGTGCTGTAAATGCTGCCTCATCTCCTTAATATTCTAAGACAATAAAATCCACTATTAAAGTTGACCATACTTTTACATCAAAACTACTATGCCTTTTAAGATTTATGTATCTCTCTTTTATGTCTAATGAAAGCAGAAATAAAACCCTGCTTTAACTTTTCACTTTGGTATTTCTCAGCATGGCGTGTGATTATTATTACCTGTTCCTCCAAGCTGTATACTTTATTGTCCTTGTTATTGATTGCATTTTAACTTCTTGGTAGTTTTATGAACATTGTAAACTACCTGTACAGTAACTTAAATGTTTAGTTCTGATACCAACAAAAAAAATCACTCTAGCAATGATTGATTGCATAAAAAAACTTATCAATCTTGGGTCCTCCACCACATTCTTTCATAAAACAGATGCTCATTTCAGATGACAGATGAAGCTTCAGTCCAGGTGTTAGAGAAGTCTGATGATGTTATTGTTATAAGTCAAGATGGAGAACAAGAAGGTACTGGAGGTATGCTTTCTGTAAAATTTAATTACTAAACTTACTAAAAGATTCTCCCTAATTTTATTTTTTATCATGTTGTTTTTTATTAAGTAAATAAATGTCACAAATTTAAAATACATATTACATGTTGTATACATTGATAAGAGATATAGGGTTATGTATCAGTGTCTCAAGATCACTGTTAATATATAGCTCATTCAGAATAACAATCATCTTAAGCTAGGATAATTTGTTGTGTTTCAAAGAGAAAACCAAAGATCTTAGTGCTCACACTTTAATTCCATTAAAAACAAACATTAGCAAGGCAGCTGACCTAGATCATGAACATAAACATAAACTGTCATTTGTAGATTATATTATTATATCATAAAACTACGAAAGGATCTTATATTTATTTGCATCACAGTATCATATTGGTCATTTTAATATAATAAAACATTGTATATTTGTTTACAAATATTTCTGTTGTGAAATGCTTTGATTACGAAACATTTTATATCAGTTATGTTTTTTTCATAACAGACTTAGGAGTATCACAAGAATTTATGTTGCATTTTTCTCCCTCCCAGTCAACTCAGAGGGGAAGTAAATCAACAGATTCTAAATCAGGGAGTAGTGAAGGTAAGGATTAACATATAAGAACTTGTTATTCAGCTCATCCAAGTACAATATTAAAGAAAACACTTTTTATCCTCTTTAAAAGCACTTTGCCAATTACAGTGATGTAAATGGATTCCAGAGTTATGGGACTTGAACCATTTAGATTGTAGGCAATTTGTATAACCATAGAGGACTGCCTGCAACTTTTTTTGCAGACCTATTTACTGAATGATAATTTAATGCTTTCTACAATATTCCATTTTGTTCTTGTGTCAGTTGATTAAATGTTTATATGAATTAAGTTTCTTTAAAAGTAACAAAAAAGAATATTGTTTTACATACATAAGTCATGGATCATATGCATTAGCCACAATATTGGTTCAAGCGGTTTTGTTAATGAAGACAAACTTTATGGTAAATTATGTTTATGAATTTAAGGCCATGTTGGACAGCCATATTATCTGATATAATATGGGGCAGAAGGCACTTTTATTAAAATCTGATGGGTGGTGGTTATTTTAGATATATAGCCTAAATAATTATATGAAATAATCAAAGTTAATGAATGGCCTGGGTTAAATAAAAAGTGCCTTCCATTCCCCATCTATACATATATTTCTTGAATAGCCCTTGCTCACAAGGGATCTTTCTGATTTCATAATAATTTATTGTGAAGTCATAACTCCAAAACCACCTGTTTTTAGTTCTGAACTTTGCCAACTTTAATACAGATGTGAATAGAATTCTTCAATTAAAAACTGTTTTTTTACAAAATTTTTTAATCTGTTAAACATATATTTCAGGTTTTCATATTAAACTACCAAGAGAAGAAGATCCACAACTGTCATCAGAAAATCAGTTTGACAAAGATGTTGGCCAGGTTGAAAATAAAGAAATGTCTCAGTCAAAACAAGGGTCTTCTCAAAGTCAAAATAATCAGGAAGAGGACATGGTTACTCAAACACCCCAGGAGTTTCCAAGGCAACAGACATCTGCAGAATATGTAGAATATACAAGTCAAAGGGAAGAAAATACTTCTAGTCAGAAGACAGATAAACCATCGAGTCCAAGAATTGAAGGAAGTCCACAAAGGTATATTAATTGAACACTATGATACTGCATGTATATTTAAAACAGTTTGTCTTAGCTGTTAAGGTTTAAATGGGGTTTAGAAATTGAAGTCTCAAATGTTTGTTATTTATGTGTACTTTGGATGCAGTTATTTTAACTTGTGTTGTTTAGAGAAAAAAATCTGTGGGAAATGTTTTTAACAGATTTGCTGTAGCTCTTTTCATTTTCGTAGTTAAAAGAAGTTGCTTTTAAAAGTACAGTATTAGAATATTACTTAGAACAAGACAGTATTGTGTCAAGCACAGTACTCTAATCTTCCAGTGATATTTAATGTGAAGTTTTCAAGTACACTTCTGACAAGATATTTTCAAATTCTTGTTATTCTATAAAATTTGTATTACACTGTATACATTTTCTATCTGAAAAGACGTCTTTAATGAAATAATTTGAATTTTATCACCAAACATTCTAAAGACAGAAAAACATCGTTTTATGAACAAATAGATGATTGAATGTCAATAAGTTTTTTTTTTTTAACTAAAGGACACCTTTGAAGCAACCTTCATCTTTGACTATAGAAATGATCACTACAGAATCACAAGTCTCTGAACATTCTTTCAACCTTAACAGTAAGTATACATATATTAGCATAGAATTAATTCAGGATGTCAATTGTTATTCATTTAATTGAAATGAAAATCAATGTAGAATGAGATCTTTATATTTAAGACTTAATAAAAGCACAACTGAGGAAAAATAAGTATAAATACAAAACTTCAAATCTTAAATTCAAAAATAGTCAAAAAGAAGAAATTTCCTTTAGTGGGAAAACATGTCACTGTTGCCTTCATTGCAAGGAAATGATATAAAAGCGGTACTGTGGATTCATTTATTTTTGTGGGTGTCAATTTTCGTGGATTATGGAAATCTTGCATTTTCGTAGCTATTTAATTTCGTGGTTTAACCAAAGTCTGCATACAACCTTATATAAAATGTGTCTTTCGTTGAACATTTAAATTCGAGATTCGCCGGTACCAATGAAATCCACGAAAATTGGTATCCATCAAATAATAATGAATCCACAGTACTTCTAAACCGTTCTACAACTTTCTCAAAAATATTCATCATTGAGTAGAAACTTACCTTACCACAAGATATAGACATCTATCTATCAAATGGAAACACACTATAAACCAACTTATTTTTGAAAAATTCGCCACTATAAAAATAACACCAATATAAAGCATCACAGTTATGTAAAACTTTGATGTTCCCTTAATAAATACATAAAGAAAATAAGGAAATCACCAAAATAAATCGACAGGAAGGCGGCTAGGATAGGCTAAATGTGAAATAAAGTATCCACGAAAATAAGTTTGTATACAGTATACATGTAAACACCAGCATTGAAAATCTTGGTATTGATCAAGCTAATTGAATTACAGGACCAGATGTACATGTTGGAAGTGAACAGTCTCCGCAGGAAGATAACAGAACAGATGTATTTAGAAAAATTAAATCATCAGAGAAATCTACATCAAGATATTTAATTCACGATGACAGGTAAGAAATACTGGTCTTTACCTTATTATAAATTACTTATGATTTTAGTTACAATATAGTTTTAGCTATGACAGTAAATCAAGGAAATAATGTATAAGTTTATAAGTAAATTCTGACTTGTTTGCTAAGAGAATGGAATGTTCCTTATCAATTGGTTGATGAAATGAACACTAATAAATGTAAATAGTACCTTGAAAATTCAATGATTAAAAGATTAAATCAGGTGCTTCAAATTATTGTGTTTTGAAGTCCTCCAACACCCACAAAAAATAAAAAGCAAAGTAAATTTTTTTTTAATAAAAAACAACTGAAATGAAATTCAGCGGGAACAGCTTTCATAAAAGCAGAAAAAAATTAAAACTAAAACTTTACATTAGTTTAAATCTTGTTCAAAAAATTTAGAGTTATGTCAGGGGCTTTAGAAGAGTAACCATATCCTGCTCAGCTTAAAGGACTGGTATTGAAATACATTAAAGTCGCCAAAAATATTGGACAGCACAACAAACTGCCAACACCTCAGAACAAATAACAGACAACAGAGAACAATATACACTCCAGATGATCTGATGAAAGTCAAAGCCATTTATTTGTAAGGAACATTTGGATCCATTCGTATTACTCAATACCTGCATTTTTATCTCTCTCGGTTGTCCCAATTTCAATGTTACGTAATAGGAATGAAATTCACTGATATGATTTAAGATATTTTGCTAAAGAATGTGATTTGAATTTCAGTGATGAAGAAGTATCATTTAAAACAGCTGAAGGCAAAGAAGAAAAAGGAAAAGACAAAAATTTAGACGAAGAGAAAGAAGATACTCCTCCCAAATTAAAAATGATCCGTACAGTATCAAGTGAAGTGACTTCCACGGGATATCAAGGCAGCATTGAAAGTTTACAATCCTCAGCTCATCCGGGAGACACTTCTGCTCAGCCTGGAGACACTTCTGTTCAGTGTGGAGACACTTCTGTTCAACCTGGAGACACTTCTGTTCAGCCTGGAGACACTTCTGTGCAGCCTGGAGACACTACTGTTCATCAAGGAGACACTTTTGTTCAGCATGCAGATGATACATCAACACGTTCAGTTGACACTACTCTTCATCCAGCAGGAGATGCTTCGAGTCATCCAAATGATTCAACGCTGGACGTGGACAAAACTCAATCATATGACGCTGAAAAGTATGTAAGAACTGCTGGTAAAACTAAGGATAATACTGAAATTTTGACAACGGAAAAAGATGTGCATGCAGAAAATGTGTCTGGGATTGATGATAAGACTGAGGATGATCATAGAAAGGAAGGTGCATCCAGAAAGAGTGACAAAGTTTCATCACAAAAGACCCCTTCCCAAACAAGGGAATTTGAGGCTGATTCTGTAAAAAGTCCAGGAAAATCAAAGACAGCATCTTCTAGAAATCTGTCGTTTACATCTGTAAATATTTCTGAAACTGGAGCTGCAAATACAATGTCAGAAAAAACACTACAAAAAGCTGGGGAGCAGAATTTTAGAACAAAAAAAGGACCTTCGAGAAATGTGAAAAAGAATTCCAAAACTGTTACAGTCAAAACAGCTGAAAGTTTTCAAGAAATAAATCCAAATGTTAGAAATAATGGAAATGGAAGACAGACTTGCATTAAAGAACCAGAAATTTCAATGACTGGGGCACACCATGATCCATATGAATTCCATGGAAGTCAGTCTCAAATAACAGAAGATATTGAGATTAAAAAACCCGATGAAAGTAAAGTAAATCCTGTGGTAAATAACTCATTACTTATATGAAAAGAAAATACAAAAGAAAAACACATCAACCCTCTACTTTTATCTGGGGGGAAACTTTATATTTGATTTAAAGATAAATAGCTACAAATAACACTTTTTTTCGTCTTTACAATCATGTAAATGTGAACCATTCTCATGATTACAATTAAACTTTCAACTTTTTACAATATAAATATGTAAACCAGTCTTATGTCTAAAATTACATTTTCACATTAAACATGTGCTACAGCTGTCTACATAGTCAAACTTTGTTTTATAAGATTAGGTAAATTTATTACAATTTACCTATTGGAAAGAATCTTACTTGATTGGTAGTGTGTTAGTTGTGGATTACTGTCCATCTATTGACAGAATGGGAGTAACAGTTTGGGTTCTAAGAAAGACACGTCCTTCTCTTATATATACTTGCTTAACTTGAGAGAAACATTTGTAGAAACAGTTATAGAATAACTTACTTAAAAAAAGGAATCATGAAACACAAAATTAGACTCTCAGATCTAGTCAATTTAAAAAAAAAACCAACATTTTAATACAATATTAAGATATTAAGTGTTAAAATAAGTTAATTAGAAGTGTTTCATGCAAAGAAATTACAAATATATTTGCAAGTTAAAATCTTCATTGCACAGTCAAAATAAGAATTATCATTTTATTTTATAGGAATACTATAGAACAAGAAGGATTCAAACACAGCCTGGCGAAACTCCACCTTCATCTAGAAAGAGGAAAAGGAAAATCCATAAGAAGACAGGCCTGAAAACAAAACCTGCAGGAAAGTCTTCAATGGAACATCATGTGTGTTTCAGCAGTCCTGTCAGTGAAAGTCTGACCACTCCTCCATCACAGTCAATTAGTGCCAAAAACCTGTCTTCTTTATCTGAAAAATCAGAACCGTCTAAATATATAGAAAATCTAGGAAGCATTCCGACCAGGGCAGGGCAACAGATTTCATCAATATATTCACCTCCTCGGGACAGGATTGAAGAAGATTTTCAGAATCCTAATACCCCTATAACTTTACTCAGAGAACCTATAGTAGCTGAACAACAGCAACAGACACCAACAACATCAACAGAAATGGGACCTCCAACATCAGTTCCCTTGTCTGTTAGAAGTCCTACCACATTGAATATAGTGTCTGCACTTACAACAGTCATGACACCATCGACAACAGCTGGTATGCTGACTAGAACAGAAACTTTAGTGATACCAGAAAGTGGTTCCCAGTTAGAACCTGGTCAGGTGAAGTCTTTTCTGCTGTTGAACACTATTGGGACCTATTTGCCATTTTGTTATTCGTCTCATTGGTTTGCTGTCTCTGTGACATGTACCTCACATTTCCCTTTCATGTTTTAAGTACTGATACTTTCATAAACAAGCAATGAATATTTAAACTAAAAAGCATATGGAACTGTAAACAACAGATCTATATTTAGAGCTTGACATTTAGAAAAGGTACTTGACTATTGGTGGAGACTTTGATTGTAAGATGACCATGTACTAAATTACTATAAATATAAGTATATGTCATGTGATTGCCAATGAAAAAACTATCCACCATGTTCAAATGAAGTGGATTTCAGCAACTGAATATTACTGTTAGGCCTTCAACAATGAGAAAAACCCATACTGTATAGTAGGCTATAAAGGTCCCAAAATGCCAAATGTGAAACAATTCAAAGGAAAAAACTTACAGTCTAATTTATGAAAATATGATAAAGAAAAACAAAAATGACAAACTGCAACCAACAACAACCACTGAATTTCAGGCACCTGGTTTGTTATTAGCATATGATAGGTCAGTTAAAACCAGAAGAGTGATACTACAAGCTTTTATTTAAGATTTTGGATATAATCAGATCTTTATAACAAATGCAAAATATAAAATTGAAAGCTAATTGATTCTATTATCCTTCTAGATACAACTTTTTAATTTCTTGTAACATAAAACATAAATGTAAATAATGTTCTGTTTATTTTTTTCAGGATATACAAGATGACATTAGAATCAAAACTGTAACAACTACACTAGTTACTTACAAGATTGTGGAAACAGTGGAGAAAATCAAATTTAAAAATGGAAGTGTTAAAGTTTTATCACAACACACGGTATGTATTATATGCACACTTCTATGCTCATGAAATATAGCAACTACAAAATAAATTGTAAAATTGTGTTGTTTATCAATTATGATGATAGACAGTTGTCTTTGTCCATAATATGATGCAGATGTTACCTGTTAAAGACAATGAATAGGCATTATTGACATACATATATACAAACTTGTGGAAATAGTAGCTCCATAAAAATCAGGTATATGTAAGTTAAGTACCAGTTGGCATTGAAAGGTATGAGATGACATTGATTCAATTAGAACAGGTTACTGCACATATGCCAAAGACATAATTTTACAGAAAGACAAAAAAAATTTGATTCACTTGAATATTATTTTTATATTCCTCCTGCAGTGATAATTTTTCCTCTCTGTTATCACATTAGAAAATGTGAACAAGTATGACAATGATGTTTATTTATTGATTGTTAGTTGCGTTCGGAACATCTTTTAAGTTACAACAAATTATCTGTGTATGTTGGGTTATGGGAAACATTTAATTTTGATTTTAGACCCTGTAATATTTCAGTGTTTAGCTGTTTTACTAATATTCCCTGTTATGTTTTTAAATTTTGATAACAGATTCATTAATCGTCGTGTCATATGTTTTTGTACGGCATATGTTTTTGTATCATCCATATTTCATCGGTTTCTATTGCGCACACGTACATTTAGACATGTTATCCGGTTTCTATATTTGGAAAAACAACACTACAACGTGACAAATGTCAAACATATTGAAATTAAGACGTAAGAACAAATTTAATCAAACTTACCTGTTCAGTCATTTTTAGCTCACCTGGCCCAAAGGGCCAGGTGAGCTTTTCTCATCACTTGGCGTCCGTCGTCCGTCGTCGTCGTCGTTAGCTTTTTACAAAAATCTTCTCTTCAGAAACCACTGTGCCAAATTTAACCAAACTTGGCGACAATCATCATTAGGGTATCTAGTTTAAAAAATGTGTCCGATGACCCCGCCAACCAACCAAGATGGCTGCCATGGCTAAAAATAGAACATATGGGTAAAATGTAGATTTTGGCTTATATCTCTGAAACCAAAGCATTTAGAGTAAATCTGACAAAGGGTATAACTGATCATCAGGTCAAGATCTATCTGCCCTGAAATTTTCAGACAAATCTGACAACCCATTGTTGGGTTGCTGCCCCTGAATTGGTAATTTTAAGGAAATTTGGCAGTTTTTGGTTATTATCTTGAATATTATTATAGATAGAGATAAACTGTAAACAGCAATAATGTTCAGCAAAGTAAGATCTACAAATAAGTTGCATGACCAAAATTGTCAGTCGACCCCTTTAGGAGTTATTGCCCTTAATAGTCCATTTTTAACAATTTTTTGTAAATTTTTGTAATCTTTTACAAAAATCTTCTTCTCTGAAACTACTGAGACAAATTTAACCATACTTGGCCATAATCATTATTAGGGTATCTTGTTTAAAAAATTTGTCCGATGACCCCGCTTTCCAACCATCATGGCCGACTTGGTTAAAAATAGAACATAGGGGTAAAATGCAGTTTTTGGTTTATATCTCTGAAACTAAAGCATTTAGGGCAAATCTGACAAGTGGCAAAAATGTTTATCTGATTTAGATTTATCTGCCCTGAAATTTTCAGACAAATCCGACAACCCATTGTTGGGTTGCTGCCCCTGAGTTAGTAATTTTACAAAAATTTTGTAGTTTTTTGTTATTATCTTAGATATCATTATAATATCTAATATCTATAACTATTAATTATGATTTTATCCTTATTTTACATGATTTCCAAAGCATCAGTAAATACAGGTGAGCGACACAGGCTCTTGAGAGCCTCTAGTTATTTAATGTCAAAAATATGCATCACTAGGAAAGTTGTTGAGAAAAAATTCTGAAGGGTTACTTAAAGTACAGCTATGTGGTCTACCTGTCAGACACCAGATCTTCAAGTCACATGACAAAACAGCAAGTTAACATTAACATGGTTCTTATATAAAATGGTTGTCCAAAATCCTTTTATTCTATATACTATTGACAATTGTTTGTATACAACCTTAATACATAAAGATGAAAACAGTCTTAACTTTTTACATTTAATCCCAAATTTTGAAAACTGCATTTTAAATTAAAAAAATAATGTCTTTTGTAGAAACCCAGTGCCAATCTGAAAAAAAAATCACAATGTTACAATTTCAGCACATGAAACATCAACCAAAAGCTATTTAGTTATTTTTAGTACTGTAAAGTATTTTAATAATTTTTTTTTTAAATTCAAGCAATCACCAGAACCTGGGACTAGTATAATAGCCCCTTCCAGAACCATGACTTTAGAAAACACTCATTTCCGTATTTTATAGTCATTTCCTGTCCATGTACTGATCCAACTTTTACTTCATACGAAAACATATGGCACCATTTTATGACCTACAAAAATCACAAAGTAATCGACAACAGTAAAAAATCGTAGTAAGCCTTGACAAAAAAATCTAGGTACCCATAAAACATTCGACAGAACATGCATTTAAGATTCGAGTAGTACGAAAACATATCACATGAAGATATTCTTTCTTTGGTGCATGTATTTTGATAATTCAAAGAACTATTATTGGTTTCATATTATCATTTGTGTACAGGAAAAAATTCCAGTGAAAACACTTCAGAAGAAAACAGAAACAACTGAAGAATACATACAGTCCCCTATGTCACCTTCAAGGACTAATAGTACAGTGACCTCTGGTGACCTTGGAGATATCAGTTCATCACTTTCAAGGTCAGGAAGTAGTGGTCCAAGTTCTCTAGATGTCAACAGACTTGGATCAGAAGTTGTGGTAACTCAGTCATTGGAATCTGCAGGTACTTTGCAAGTGTTAAATCATTTTTGATGATAAAAAAAAATGTATGTCTGTTGAACAGCAATCATGTTTAAACAGTCTCAAAAGTAAATGCACACAAACAAATTTGAATTTGCAGTATAAACTGTTTTGATCAGAATTCATATTCCACAAAGTTTAAGTTTCTCTGTTCCTATATGGTTTGATCAGTTATAATGTTCTTGAAAGCCGTTTTTTTTTTATTATTGATTATTTCTTTCCATGTTTCTTTTACACCTACTGCATTCTTGATTCTGATAATTCCTTTTCATGCATTAGCCTTTGGATCCTGATTTTATTTTTTTATTTTTCTCTTTTATTGCTTTGGTTATATATCTTGTACTGTACTTATTTACAAAAATAAGTATAAATAGCTGTCAGTCTTGTAATATGAAAGGCTGAAGTAATTGTTTGTATGAATTTTATCCCAAGTTGTTCATTTTATTAAATTTAGATAGAAAGCAATGGATTTGAGTCTAAAACATTAAAGTTTTTTTTCAGCTTCAAGGAATTTATTATTGGTGAGGGAACCAGTTACAGCAAGCCCTAGACTAGACATTCACCATATATCAGGATCAGAGACTTATTCACCCCTGGAGGTTTCCAGTATACACAGGGATGTTGATCGTCGATTGAGCTCAGAAAATCTGTTTACCAGTCCTGACACCTCTAAAGGGGATGAGGAGGTCAAGAGAATTGAGAGTGGTAGCTTTTCTGATGCTATAACTTGTGCACAGAGGAAAATTGAAACTGAACCAGGTTAGATTATACCATTCCTTATATGTGGACAAAGACCCCTATAACAGTAAAAATCAATAAAACAAAAAATCAATGTACTAATGAACTCAAAATCGTTAACTTTTTTGGTCCCCTTGCGCATCACCCTGTTCCTGTTCTGTTGACGCTGATGCCATGTTGTAAGTCATACGATTTCCTGCGCAAATTTCTATATCTGATTACCAAAAAGAATAATGACAAAAATACCCTGTACAATGAAGATAAAATTCATAATACAGACTTTGTCATCTTCCACATGCAACACCTGCCTCATATTAAAAGAATATTATTCTCAATATTGCAGAGTTTTATAAAGCTTGGATAACAATCTCGTTTCTATTTGGATCTCAGTGAATTTTGAAGTACTTACAATAAACTATTGATATTTGGAATTTATATTGGTATGATATTATTACATATACCTACCATATATACATGTATATAAGGCTATTTTTGTGTCAGGTTTGTTAGTTGTTTGCACCTTAGAGGGGACAGTTAAATATTGACTGTGCTCATTATTTTCATTCCATGGTCTTGTACAGTGCATTTATATGAATGTTTTGATAGGGAAAATTTTATAGTAAAATTCCTATCACAAACAAAACATTGATTTGTATAAAATTTAATGATCAGATAAGCTTTAAAAGTCCATCTAAAAGAATGTCCAGTTTAGATACAACCATGTTTATTTTAGTTCCAAGAAGTGGTGAAGAGTCAGAACCTCTGTTTATATTACCAAAGCCAACAACCACTGGGTCAAGTGGAGAAAGCAATGAAATTAGGTATGTTAATATTTTCTGCTTTGATCTAAGATTAAATTTGCTAAAACAAATTATGTCTACAGTATCAGTTTCTTTGTTTAAGATTTGTCAGCTTTGAATCAAATACATTTCACAATGTACAAGTGTTGACATCAGATATTGACTTTTTGATATAGAACCTCAAAATTTGTAACCAGGAAAGAGAATGGTTTCCTAGTGTCCAAAGAAAATAAACTTCAAAGTGTCAGATATCCTTTAAGAAAAATACTGAGTATTTTTATGCCCCCGCCGCATCAGAGGGGGCATTAAAATACATTCTCCATTTATTTACAGTATTATAATTTTTAAAGATATATTCATTTCATGATTTTATACTAAATGTCACCAAAAAACATCTAGTCTAGGTTAATATCTTTTGTGCAGCCCAAGTAGATTTGGTCATGCTTTTAATTCATGGCACAAAATTAATTTTCTCTACCCATGATGCATTTGAATTTATCGTAGGCCATAGATATATAGTTACTAATTATAGAATGTTCTCAGAGAAACTCCACCTCTGACAGTTGGAAATATTGTAAAGCTGCGATTTTCCTTCTATATAAAAGGTTGTATACTTATAGTAATTAATGAACTTCTAGACATTGGTTTTCACATTTGAATTGTTTCACATTTTGTCATGTCAGAGCCTTTTATAGCTGACTGTACGGTAGGGGTTTAACTCATTGTTGAAGGTTGTATGTTGACCTGTAGTAGCTTACATCCATGTCAATTGGATTCGAGTAGATATATAGTATTTATAGTATCTTATTGGCAATCATACCACATCTCCTTATTTTTATATTCTTATGATTTCAGCCCAGAAATACCATATCAGGACCAAGCTGTATCAACTACCAAGCCAGACAAACAAGATGATAAAAATGTTGAAATGACATCAGGAGAAATAGGTGACTGTTAAAACCCTTTGTCTATTTTGCATGTTTTCAACATGAATTTGATTGTTTGTGTGCCTTTTTCAAATTCTAAGATGGCCACCACCCCAAGCTATACTTTTATCATGAACCTTATTTTATCTATTGTGTTAATATAAATATTTCTTAGAACTATTTCATAATTATATCATGATTTAATATCACTTTATCACATATAACATAAGCAACACGACGGGTGCCTCATGTGGAGCAGGATTTGCTTACCCTTCCGGAGCACCTGTTATCACCCCCAGTTATTGGTGGGTTTCGTGTTGCTCAGTCTTTAGTTTTCTATGTTGTTTTGTGTACTGTTGTTTGTCTGTTTGTCTGGGTTTTTTTAGCCATGGCGTTGTCAGTTTATTTTCGACTTTGATTAAACAAGAAGTAATTAACTCAATTATTATCATTAAACTTATGATTTATGAATTACAGATGCAAGAATAATGGCAAAATGGAAGGACACTCACTTTTATCCTGGAATTATAAAAGAAGTTTTAGGAAAATCGAGGTGAGTAAATTGGATTGGAAGCAGCCACACCACATATAAACATATTATAAAGTAAACATGTGTCTAGAATAAAACTATACAGTGACACTATATTGATCATGGATTCTTACAACTGAGCACTAAATCGAATGACATTTAATGTCATTACACTAGAAAATCTATAAATTTTTATAAACTTATATCAGTCTAAAATTTATGGCAAATTAATTAATTATACCCCCGCTTTAAAAAAGTGGGGTATACTGTTTTACCTCTGTCTGTCCGTCCGTCCATCCATCTGTCCGTCATTCCGTCCGTCCGTCCTATGAATATTTTTCGTCGCATCTTTCTCAGGAACTACAGTATAGTCCGTTTGACTACTATAAATCTTCAAAAAATAATTCTTAAAAATTCATTTTTACAAATAAACATTTTTTTTCTTGATGTATGTTAATGTATGATATATACGAACTCTGACAATGAATATCATAATTTTGGGCCAATAATTAAAAAATTTACCCATTAGGTCTCTATGTTACTTCTATTTTGTTTTATATAAAATACTTGATGGAGTAAGTATGAATAGTGTAACAGCCTTCCATTCAAAACAAAAACATTAGACATGTGCTTTAAACCTGTTTCATTGTACCATGTGACTTTTCTCATTTGAATAACTCTGACCAGCAACAAACTTGGACCTCATTTAAGTTTTATGTCATGTGATTACTGAACTTTCTGTATACATGAATTTGTATTTTTCATTGTTCAATTTCTATGAGTAACCTTAGCACTGGACATAACTAGTATTACATTTTTAAACACTACAAAGTAGTTTTAGGCAAAATTCACTTTAGAAATGAAATTTTGTGAAAATGAATAATATAAAACATTTTTTTTGTAGTATTTTTACCTTCATATGTTTATGAAAAGTAAATATTGAATGTATTCTGTAAATACTTATTGATAAAACTTTTTAGAGCCTGTCCATTTTGTTAATACTGTCATCATGCTTTAAGCATTAAAAGCTTGCTTATATTCTTTTATAAGATATATATAAATATATAATCAAATTAAGGTAACAAAAATGAAGATTTGGTAAGGAATAAAAATAAAATAAAACATCTGATTATAATATTTTCCCCACAAATAACATCTTTGTAGATACATGCAAGTTCATCTATAAAATCGTATAAAAACCAGTTATAAAAAAACTTAGATGATGGTCATTTTTGATGACATGTAAAGTGTCCTTTGATATTTAAATGAATTAAGTCACATGGCACAATGAAACAGGTTTAAAGCACATGTCTAATGTTTTTGTTTTGAATGGAAGGCTGTTACACTATTCATACTTACTCCATCAAGTATTTTATATAAAAACAAAATAGAAGTAACATAGAGACCTAATGGGTAAATTTTTTGATTATTGGCCCAAAATTATGATATTCATAGTCGGAATTGGTATATATCATACATTAACATACATCAAGAAAAAAAAAGTTTATTTGTAAAAATGAATTTTTAAGAATTATTTTCTGAAGATTTATAGAAGTCAAACGGACTAAACAAGGATTTCTGAAATTTGGATTCATGGTTTATATGAGTCAGCTATATTGTGTGGTGCATTTTCAGATTCATCACTCAACAACTTCCTGTTTACCAAAATATTTGGGTGGGGGTATCATCAGTGAGCAGTAACCAGTCAGGGGCGTTACTTAAACAAGTTTTTTTTTTTAGTTACTTATATAGGTAACTTTTGTTTTTAAAAATTATAAAATTACTCAATAGAGTTATTTAAAATTTCAATAAAAGCATGGACTAAATGTAGTTTTCGTGAATTTTTACATCATTTTATATCATAAAATTAAGAAAATATAAAATTTGAGAGGAGTATAGAGATAAAGGGTTACTTTAATTATAATGACAAAAATATTACTTGAATAAGTCATTTTATACATCTTTGAAAGAATTAGTAATAAAACTTATTTCAGGAATATATGTAATTGTTTTGGGTTACAAATTATAAATAACTTTTTTAAAAAAGTCTTAATTAAATCACAAGTTTTTATCTATTTATATATGTCTACCTTCAAGATTTTCAAGGAAAATGATATTTTTATAGTCCCGAGAGACCAATCTTTGACCCAGAAGCCTCAATATGAAAGATAAGTGCATCAGAAAGGCAATTAGTGTTTCAGAAGGATTAGATTTTATATTTCAAGGGAAAAATAACCAGATGACTTTGAAAATTTGTTAAAGCTATTAAAATCTGTATAATTGGACACCTATAAAAATAATATTTAGAAAAGTTACTTATATAAGTAATATTAAAAATAGCCTCATTTTCAACATTACTTGTATAGGTAATTTAAAAAATTACTTGTTTAAGTAATGCCCCTGACTGGTAAATCACAGTTTCACTTGTTACACCAGAAAATCTATAAATTTTTATAAAATTTATATCAGTCTAAAATTTATGGCAAATTAATTAATTGTTCAAGGTTTGTTGCTAGTTAGCTCATTTACCAGACATTTACCAGACTTATGTATTCTTTTTTTTATATGCTAATGCATTTGGTGTGCTTAGGATTCATTTACACAATGTATTTTCATGGGTACCAGTTTCTGTTGATAGTGGAAACTTAATTTTCATGGTTCTGACAAATTCCACATACAAACCTAAAAAACCTTTGTATTTTGTTAAGCACCTAAATTCTTTGTTAATGTATTACCCACAAATCCCCCAAACTAATAACCCAAGAATAAAAAATACACATTATATCAAATGCAATAGGATATAAAGAAAGCAAAAGTTTTTTTTAAAGGCAGTGCTTTAATGCCTTTCTGGTTGCCGGGTTAATCCTTCCTTCCGCGATATCCAACTTATCTACGTGGGGGGTCATTAGGCTCCAAGTAGATCCGGAAATGTTGAATTCTCTCCTCTTCTTATTGTGATATAAAATGTTTTTTGTTTTATTTCATTTACATTGGGAAATAGAGAAACGATCATTGTGTTTTGTTAGTTTTAAAAAATTTTGATATATTTGTATTTTGCATTATAAGCAGTCAACCGATTGACAAACTAGAATTATTTGAATTCCGTGTGGAAAGAGCTCGGGTTAATTTCGAGTGTTATCTGCAATCTATATGTTTATAAATCATTTCAGTCGTTGATATAATATTAAAAGGTCGACTGAACATGAATTATATTATACAATTTTTAAGCGCATTTCTGTTTTACTTTATGCACGTGAACCCGCCTAACATTATTGTTATTTCGCAGTTATATAAAGTAGCAAATTATCGTTCCTGAATAGGTGGCGCCGTGGTAGCCGATCCTGTTCCTCAACTTCCGGTTTCTGTACTGTGCAACTATAAACTATTTCAGTTACATTTTTAATTAACGATGCCAAGTACTTGTTGTTGTGTACCTGGATGTCATTTAAGAGGAGGACATGCATTTCCAAATGACTTAAAAAGAAGGAAAAGTTGGATCAACGCCATGGCCCATACGCAGATTGGACGAGAACATGATGAAATCGTGGAGTCCATCTCAATCAGCTGTTGTTTGCAAGGCACATTTTACTGAAAAAGACTACGTGCAGGAAACTATTCATGGTAAAACTCTATTTAGTTATATATGTAATCGCCATGCGAATTTAAACCAAAGTCTGTTTACAACCGCAATTATCGTTTTAGAATGAAAGGCCAAAGGGGGTGGTTAAGTCAAGACGTCATAATTTTTTGGATTACGATTCAATGTGATCTGTTTGAGATTTTTTGGTGATTGCTACAATTATAATGATTTCTTACAAGAGGTATATCATACTGAGAATTATTTTAGCAGTAATTATGCTAATGTAGTAATGACAGGAATGCATAAGCTATGCCTCATAGACTTTCTTGAAAAATATCAATGACAATGATAACAGGAACAAAACAATGACATGCTCTCATCTATATTATAGTTATTTAGGTACAAACAATGAACGTTTGTTGCATAAGTCTCTCATTGTTTGTCCTTTGGATTTACATAACATACATTGATTTGAATCAGGCAAACATAGTTTTATCCAGATTGTAATGAATAAATCTAGTTAATATTTCGCCAGGTAATACAAAGTATACATTGCTAATGGAAGTTCATTTAATTATCAAAAAACTAATGTTTTATAACCATTTTCAGGGCGCAAATCCACCATACAGAGACTTAAGTCTACTGCCATTCCCAGCCTATTTTCCTGGACCAAGCAAGAGACTGAATCGTCCGCAAAAAGAAAAATCAGGGCAGTTTCCTGTGAAAACAAAAGAACTAAACTTGATGAATATTGTAGTAGAAATCTAGAGGAAAGTTTTGATTGTAAAGTTGGTTTTCCTGAAGAAGTCATTCATACTGCAGAAAGGATTTATGACTGTCCACCACCAACTGCCGGGCTAATGTTGAGCTTCACAGATGGAATTACGCAAACACCATCAATGCCTATGTTTTCAGCAGAGAATTTTGAAATGAAGACACGTGACACAGCCATGCATTTTTATACCGGTTTAGAGTTGTATACTAAATTTTTATTTGTTTTGACCACACTTGGTCCAGCAGCACATTGTTTGAGATACATATATTTTCAAATTGATAGACATAATAAACATGTGCACATAGAGCGAATTATTGGACTTGGCAAAACATACAAAATTCTAATAAATCCTATGAATGGAACTGAAACAAAACTTTCATCTGAAATAACATTTAGTTGTTTTATGTTGTGTAATTTTAGAACTTGTATTGTGCCAAAGGATGCATAAATAAAAGTGACGCAATGAATTTTGTTCTGATATATATATATATATAATTACATGCACATGTAAATTGTAATGCATATAAAAATAAGGAGATGTGGTATGATATTCAGTGAGTTTATCGAACTAAAGTGCATAAGAAATGGGTTTAAGCAGTTACAGGTGTAACTGTCACTGTACAATCTCCAACAATGAGAAAACTTGTACCGTGTAAAAAACGTCAGAGATCTTACCACTAACTTCTTAAAAGCTTTATATTTTAGAAGGTGGAAGACCTGGATGCTTCATACTTTGTATATGGATGCCTCATGTTACGAAGTTTCCGTCAGTCACATGTCTAATGTCCTTGACCTCATTTTCATGGTTCAGTGACTACTTGAAAAAAAAGTTAACATTTTTTGTAATGTTAAATTCTCTCTTATTATAAGTAGTAGGATAACTATATTTGGTATGTGCGTACCTTGCAAGGTCCTCATGCCCGTCAGACAGTTTTCACTTTACCTCGACCTCACTTCATGGATCAGTGAACAAGGTTAAGTTTTGGTGGTCAAGTCCATATCTCAGATACTATAAGCAATAGGTCAAGTATATTCGGTGTATGGAAGGACTGTAAGGCGTACATGTCCAACTGGCAGGTGTCATCTGACCTTGACCTCATTTTCATGGTTCAGTGGTTATAGTTAAGTTTTTGTGTTTTGGTCTGTTTTTCTTATACTGTATGCAATAGGTCTACTATATATGGTGTATGGAATGATTGTTAGGTGTACATGTCTAGCTGGCAGGTCTCATTTGACCTTGACCTCATTTTCATGGTTCAGTGGTCAAAAAAAAAAGTTAAGATTTTGAGTTTTGGTCTTTTTTTCTAATACTATATGCAATAGGTCAACTATATTTGGTGTATGGAAATATTTTATGATCTATATGTCAGTCGCGCAGGTTTTTTTTGACCTTGACATCATTTTCACAGTTCATTGCTCAGTGTTAAGTTTTTGTGTTTTGGTCTGTTTTTCTTAAACTATATATATATAAGCAATAGGTCAACTATATTTGTTGTATGGAAGAATTGTTAGCTGTACATGCCTGCCTGGCATGGTTCATCTGACCTTGACCTCATTTTCATGGTTCATTGGTCAATGTTTAGTTTTCTTGGTTAATGTTAAGTTTATGTGACAGTTGTAATAAAGCTTTATATTAAGGACTATCAACATAATATCAGTGATTAGTAAAAGAAGGCGAGACATTTCAGCGTGTGCACTCTTGTTGGACAACAACTCAAAAATGCTTTAAGCAGTTCGCATGAAACTTTGGTGAATTATTTATAGCTATTGATGTAATCTCCCTATAGATTTTCATAAATTTCAAATATGACATTGAGAAGAAATTGAACTTTATTTGTTTATAGTCTGGCAACAGATTTATTAAGTATTGCGCAACAGCACAGTGTATTGCACAACAGCAAGAAATCTTTAATTGAATATAAATTCAATTCATATAACCGATTTCAAGTTCTTTGACTACATTTATTTAGAAACTATAATATGTCAAATATTTAATTACAATCCAAATTCAGACCTGTATCAAGCTTGAATATTGTGTTCATTTTTGCCCCAACTGTTCAGGGTTGGACCTCTGCGGGTGTATCCAGCTGCGCTCAGCGAATCAGTTTATTTCTTAATTAAGAACTCCTTTTTTCATTCATAAATTACTTTAAACTTGGAAATATAATTTTGCTTGGAGTTATAGTTTCTAAAAAAAGTATTGTCATTGAAAGAGTTGACATGTTGCAATGTACATTTATTCTACATAGTTCTATGGTACCAAATCAAAAGTTTATATAAAAGAAAGAAGTCAAAGGTTTCCCATCATAGTTTAGTTACATACATTTGTTTTGTACCTGAGGTCGTTGAATATAGATCATTATATAAATAAGGAGATGTGTTATGATTGCCAATGAAACAACTATCATCCATACTTAACAGTAACAAACCACATTTGCAGAGTTGAATAAAATACAGTTGATAACATTTACTTATTACTAAAAAGAAAATGCCTAACTATTATAAACAGTATTTGAATATCAATTATATGGTCATTTTTAAGTCCCCGAGGGTATCACCAGCCCAGTAGTCAGCACCTCGTTGTTGACATGAATATCAATTATATGGTCATTTTTATAAATTTCCTGTTACAAAACTTTGAATTTTTCGAAAAACTAAGGATTTTCTTATCCAAGGAATAGATTACCTTAGCCGTATTTGGCACAACTTTTTGGAATTTTGGGTCCTCAATGCACTTCGACTTTGTACTTGTTTGGCTTTATAACTATTTTGATCTGAGCGTCACTGATGAGTCTTATGTAGATGAAACGCGCGTCTGGCGTATTAAATTATAATCCTGGTACCTTTGATAACTAATTTGACTATAAACAGAGATAAAAAAAAGGTACAAACTGGACATAATGCACTAGTTCATAAACAAGTGAGAACAATCACCTTCATATAGTGCTCAGAATATGACATTCATATAACTTGTTCAATATCATTAGAGAACTCTAAATCTTAAATACTGAAAGCCACCTCTGATAAGTACACTGTACTATGCAAGATAATGATATAACTGGACTAAAAATACACACAACCTGTAATTAACTGCCTTTACAGCGCTTTCACGCTTTGATTACTCAAAGTGAATGAGCTAACTTGCAACAAACCTGGAACAATCAGTTATTTTTCAGATATTTAGTAAGATTTGGCGAGGTGGTGTTCTGGTTATTAAAGGCTTTGACATTTGATATACAATGTTATCTTTCAGGTATAAAGTCAGATTTGATGATGGTGATGTCATGGTTATATAATGCTGTGACATTTGATATACAATGTTATCTTTCAGGTATAAAGTCAGATTTGATGATGGTGATGTCATGGTTATAAAAGGCTGTGATATACTATTGATAGACAAATTACCTGTTAGACAACCAGTGATGGTACTATCTAAAGATGGCTATTTTTATCCTGGAACTATAACAGAAGAAACAGAAAAAGGGGATGTTATTCAGTATACAGTACTCCAAGGAAATGGTCAGAGTGCAAAGTAAGCATACATTGAATAAAATCGGAAAGGATACATCTTTTTTCAGACTAGAAAATATTAAAACAGTGAGAGGAGCTTACAAACTCAAACACCTGACCTTCCTGCACCAACACCTCCACCATTTTGTATATGATAAAGTCCATATATAAGTAAGGATATGTAGTATGAATGCCAATGAGACAACTATCCATATACCAAAAGACAAAATTGTGAACAATTTCAGGTTGCTGTATGCCCTTCAACATGAGCAAAACCCATACCATATAGTAAGCTGTAAAGAACCAGTTTTGTTTTGAAAGAAAGCATTTTGAAATTTAAAAAAAAAACTATACACAACATCAATGCTTTTTACAATCATAATAGACTGTAAAAAAGCGTTCAATTCTTGTAAATACATTTTTATGTTACAGCTATGAATTTAGGAGTTATAGCAAGCTTTTTGTTTGTTTTCCTATGCATTGTTGTCATGGGAAGCACCTGCAGTCATTAATGTTGCATTTTATTGCGACATGACATATTATTCTTATAAATAAGAAGATGTGGTATGAGTGCCAATGAGACAACTATCCATTCAAGTCACAATGTTTAAAAAGTAAACAAAGGTCGAAGTACGGCCTTCAACACAGAGCCTTGGCTCACATCGAACAGCAAGCTATAAAGGGCCCCAAAAAGACTAGTGTAAAACAATTCAAACAGGAAAACCAAGTCTAATCTATATAAAAAAAACCGAGAAACACTTATAAACCACACCAACAAACAACAACCACTGAACAACAGGCTCCTGACTTAGGACAGGTGCATAAAAATGCAGCAGGTTTAAATGTTTTAACAGTCGCATGGAGCCAACCTTCACCCTAACCTGAAGCAATAGTGTAACATCACAACATAGAAAGACATACTATAAAATATCAATTGAAATGGCTTAACTCAAAAGTCATGAATTTTGAATGCCTCAAAATTAGGGATTCTAATGAAACATACATGTTATGTTATTATTATCTATTGAAAGACAACATTACATACTTTGGTATCCATTGTCTCTTTAATTTTTGTGTCGTCTGTAACAAAGTCCAAGAAGCTAGACTTAGGTATGCTATTTCCGGATTCATTGTTGGTGTTTTTTTTAGTTTTACCAAGTGTACAGATTGTCAACACCTTATTTGCAATTTACTATACCAAACTACCAACAAAAAATATAACTGTACTGTAAAGTAGATTTTTAAGAAGATATCTGTTTTTTGACTTAAATCTTTATTAACTTCACATTGGAGAGATATGACTTATGCTGTTATCTTTACCAGGTTCAGATCAAGTCAAGTAATACTAAGTGAAGACCAAGCAGCATGTCTTATAGCAGACTTACAATGTCAGCTTGGTGACCAGTCTGAAGACACTGAAGAACCTACTATGAAAAATGCTAATGTTAGCTTAGGTAAGATATCTCAACAGTAAATCAAGAAGATTAAACTTTAGTGAAAGTAAAATGCATGAAATATTTTTACGCTAAATAAAATGCTTAAAAGTGGTGTGGGGGACATAGAAATACCTGGTGTCTATTTATCTGTCCCTCTGTCCTTTCTTTTAAGCATTCCTACATATACACAGTTCTTGCCAGATTTTATGAAATTTATATCAAAGGTTTATATCAGCAGTGACATGGACAAGTTCAAAATCACTGCCCCTGGGACATATAATATGGAAAATTGGATTGTAAGTACTCTAGATCTCAAGTCACTATTTCTTGTAGGATTGTAATGAAATTTACATCAAAGGTTAATATCAGCAATGTCTGGGATGAGTTGGAAATTAGCACTCATCAATTAATTTATCAGTAGTAATGGCCATTAAAAATGTAGTTTAAATTGAACATTTCATTGTATTAGCACTCTCACACCTGCATATCTTGTCAGATTTTTATGAATTTTTTATTAAAGTTTATACCAGCAAGGTCTTTGAATAGTGCTGAATAATTGTTTATACAGGATTTATGCCACTTTGAAATAGAATTTATATTGAAAATATCGTTGTTAGCAATTTCATGTCTACATTTCTTGTAGGATATTTCTGAAATAGTTTAAAAGAATCTAATACATTTTTTTTTTTTTTTTTTGAGTGATTGCCCTTCGGCACATAAAACATGTGCAACAGCAGGTGGTCGACATTGGAATGTTTTTTTATTTTCCTTAACTTAAATTTGTAGAAATTTTCATATTTTTTTGTAATTTGAATAATTGTACATGTATTACTGTAATGAATTAATAAAGGGAAATATTTGACACACCATAATGTAACCAATATTTTATGGTAAAACTGCCAAAATAACCCAATTTATAGTAATTGTTAATGTCATATTGTGAATGAAATCAACATGCGAAAATTCATGGAAATTCAGCAACAAATTAATTTAGAACTTACAGACAGATCTTAAAAATTTGTATATCTATTATAAAGCTGATTTGCAGATCAGAAATTCCTTTTAAACATCACATAAAAATAAGGAGATTTGGTATGATTGCCAATGAGACAACTCTCCACCAGAGACCAAATGACATAGAAGTTAACAACTATAGGTCACCGTACTGCCTTTAACAATGAGCAAAACCCATACCACATAGTCAGCTAAAAAAGTCCCCGAAATGACAAATGTATAACAATTCAAACGAGAAAACTAACGGCTCATTTTTATATTTATTTTATAGAAAATTTAGTAATAGGAAAGAGAAGAAAAGAGAGTAGATATGAACAATTAAACATGTCAACTGAGGAGCCAAAGCCAGGGCCAAGCAGTATAAAAAAGAGTAAAACTCCATTTTCTCCCACTCCTGGCAAAAGAAGAAATGTTTCAGGACCTTCTACCAGTACACCAAGAGTTGCCAAACGTAGAAAAATAGCAGAAGGTAACATGAAAATAAGGAAAATTAAGGGCAATTCAATTAAAATGGATGTTTAAAGGTAGGAATGTACTTCCAAAATACTCAAACAACCATCTTTCTTTCTTTTAGTTGTTTTGCATGAATCAAATATACATATCACAATAAATGACTCGAGGTCAATGTTTAAAAAAAACGCTACTGTCCCATATTCATTACTGTAAATTCAGAAATTATTGCGAGGTTTTTATTAATGCGAATAATGCGACTGGGTGAATATCGCAATAATAAGAACTCACATTCTGATAACTGAAATATAGACCGGTATGCACTTTTTTCGAAATCGCAATAATAAAACTCGCATTTTTGTTCATTCTTGAAAAATCGCAATAATAAATGCACGCAATAATTTCTGAATTTACAGTATAATGATTGTCCTTATAGGATTGACAGAAAATCAATAAAAGAAAAGGTTGGCCTCTATTTATATTTTTTACAAGAAGATACATGTATGTTCTAATTATGATTTTAATCAAAAGAAATAAAAGCAACAGAAAATATCTCATTTTTTGTATGTAAATAATTTTAATCTGCAGTTATAAAGAAAACATATAATGAGTGGTTCTCATCCAATTGTCATTTTTATACGACCGCAATCGTATATTGGTATGACGTTGTCGTCGTCGTCATCTGTAGACACATTAGTTTTCGCACTCTAACTTTAGTTTAAGTGAATGGATCTCAATGAAATTTTACCATAAGGTTCAATACCACAAAAGGAAGGTGGGGGTTGATTTTGGGGGTTATGGTACCCACAGTTAAGGAATTGGGGCCAAAAAGGGGCCAAAAATAAGCGTTTTTGTAACTTCCAGACATAACTTGTGTGTAAGTGTATGGATCTCTCTGACATTGTACCACAAGGTTCCATATCACAAAGGGAATGCTGGGATTGATTTTGGGGGTAATTGCCTCCAAATTTTAGGAATTAGGGGCCAAAAAGGGGCAAAAAACAAGCATTTTTCTAGTTTCATGACAATAACTTGTGTGTAAGTGTATGGATTTTTATGAAATTGTATTACAAGGTTCCACATCACAAAGGGAAAGCTGGAATTGAGTTTGGGGGTAATTGCCCAAAAAGTTTAGGAATAAGGGGCCAAAAATAAGCATTTTTCTAGTTTCCAGACAATAACTTGTGTTCAAATGTATGCAAGGTACCATACCACAAAGGGAAGGCTGGGATTGATTTTGGGGGTAATTCCCTCAAAATTTTAGTAATTAGGGGCCATAAAAGGGCAAAAAAACAAGCATTTTTCTAGTTTCAGGACAATAACTTGTGTGTAAGTGTATGGATCTTTATGAAATTGTACTGCAAGGTTCCATATCACAAAGGGAAAGCTGGGTTTGAGTTTGGGGGTAATTGCCCTAAACGTTTAGGAATTTGGGGCCAAAAAGGGGCCAAAAAACAAGCATTTTTCTAGTTTCCAGACAATAACTTGTGTTCCAGTGTATGGATCTCTCTGAAATTGTACTGCAAGGTACCATACCACAAAGGGAAAGCTGGGATTGAGTTTGGGGGTGATGAATCATAAGGGGGTTCCAAAAATTGGGGGGGAATTTTTTTTCCTTTTTTTTCTTTAAAATTTTCCATTTTAAATTGGTTATTTCTGATTTATATATAAAAGCAAATAGTAATGAGATGGTTTGAATAGGTAAATTAAAAATTTTTAAGTTCTTAGACCACTTTCATTCTATGTGAGAAACCTATGCTGTGTCAAATATTTAATTACAATCCAAATTCAGTGCTGTATCAAGCTTGAATGTTGTGTCCATACTTGCCCCAACTGTTCAGGGTTCGACCTCTGCGGTCGTATCAAGCTGCGCCCCAGCGGAACATTTTATTCCATCTGTATTTCAAAAATTTATGAGCTTAATTCTTCATTTATCTGATAAAAAAAATTGGTCATATTTGTAAATTAGATATTTGTTATGTATAAGATTAAGAAGATGTGGTATGACTGCCAGTGAGACAACTCTCCACCAGAGATTTGATGACATAGTGTATTGTAACATTTTGAACTATTCTTCACATTATTTATTGTAATTGCATGTCTGATAACATAATTACTAGGGATGAATATTTCACAAAACTTTTATGTGAAAGTATTGTTTTTATTGTCTCACCTGTGATGATTATTGCCAAAGCAAGACTTAGGCATGCTGTTTTAAGCAACAGTGGTGTCAACAATTGTTAAAGTTGCTGATAAGGTTACACAGGTTAGACTTTTCTCTGTGTTAAGTTTATATTAAACAATTTGTTAAGCATCTTTTATTTGATTGGCTTTATTTTTAGATGCTGCTACTGAGTCTACTACCCCTCCTAGTGGAGATACATCCCCAATAACACATAGAAGATCTCCTCGAAAAGGGAAAGGTAATTTTAATTGTCTTTCTTTGTATTGTAGATTCTAATACTCAGGCCACACCAAATAGATTTTTTAATTATTGTTTTTTGGACTCCCTCTTTCATATAATTTTTTGCTTAAATTGTTTTGAGAAATGAATTCTAGTTTATCAATTGTTCTGTTTAAAACTTTTTCTTTTTATTCGGGCCAGTGTGAGCTTTTGCCATTACTTGGCGTCTGTTGTCTGTCGTTGTCCTTCATTGTCTGACAATAACTTTTACAAAGATCATCTCCTCTGAAACTACTGGTCCAAATTTGATAATCATTAATGGGATATCTAGTTAAACAAATGTGTCTGATGACCCAGCCTGTGGACAAACATGGCCGACATGGCTAGAAATAGAACATAGAGGTAAAATGTAAGTTTTGTCTATTATCCTGAAAACCACTATAGATAGAGAAAATCTGACAGTGACAAAAATGTTTAGAATGATGAGATCTACATAATGTCTAATGACATCAAAACTTTCTGACTACTTCTTATAGAAATTATTGCCCTGAAAGGACAAATTGTACCAATTTTTTGTGTTTTTGCCAATTATCTTGAAAAATTATAATAGATAGACAGAAAGTTTAAAGATCAAAATTATCAGCAAGACAAGATCTACAAATAAGTGAATATAATCAAAATTGTCAGTCTACAGCTTATTGAAGTTATTGCCCTCTAATGCGGTATTTTCCCTAATTTTTTGCATTTTTGCAAATTATCTTGAAAACTTTAATAGATAGATAGAAACATTAATTAAATAGCAAACATGATCATCAGCCAGACAAGATCTACAAGAAAGACAACATGACCAAAATTGTTAGTTGACACCTTAATGAAGTTATAAACCTTTAAAAATGATTTCCCAATTTTTCTTGCATTTTTGCGTATTATCTTGAAAACTATAATTGATAAATAGAAACTTTAAATAGCAATAATGATCAGCAAGACAAGATCTACAAATAAGGCAGTAGACAGAAAATCGTCAGTTGACTCCTTATTGGAGTTATTGCCATTTAATGATGATATTTACAAATATATTTTGCATTTTTTGTCAATTATCTTGAAGACTATGATAGATAAATAGAAGTTTGAAAAGGAAAAATGGTCAGCAGGATAAGACTTAGAATTGTCTGTTAACTTTTGATAGACTTATTCCCCTTTAATGATGATTTTTGCTAAAAAGTGGCCATTGTTGAAGATGCAGGTGAGCGACAACATCTCTTTAGAGCCTCTAGGTTGAATTCCTATAAAAACATTGAGATACTGGTAATTTAAATATGTTGTTTCATGAGCATATTTTTTACTGGTCATTTATTGTTTTTAAATTCAGAAAAATTTTGAATGTTTTTCCTATAAGCCTTATTGAACTGTTTCTCTGCCACTCTATTCAATATGCTGTTATTGCTGCTATTATATGGGCTCCTTTTGATCATTATACATGAAATACCAACATACATTTTTAAAGGTCCAGCTAAATCACCACAGAAATTGTTCCAAGGAATGTACTTCATGTTCACCCAGGTAAAGAAAACAACAGATATTGTAGACAGAGAGAAAGAGATGTTACGAGACTCTACACAGGAGACGTCTGCTGAGGAAAGTGGTCCTGATGGTATGTTTGTGTCACAACAAAAATATCAATGAATAATATTTGGTTTATCTCATACATGTGAATCTTCCAGCGGGAGTCAAAATCTCCCAATTTTTAGGCCCTCTTCCATTCCTCCTGTTAGTAATTTAAAATCTTCCTTTTACTTTTTAAATTTCAACCCCTCAAAATTTGTCTTCATTTTTATACGACCGCAAAAAAATTTATGGTTGTATATTGGAATGTCGTCGGCGGCGTCCGAAGACACATTAGTTTTCGCACAATAACTTTAGTTTAAGTGAATGGATCTCTATGAAATTTTAACATAAGGTTCAATACCACAAAAGGAAGGTTGGGATTGATTTTGGGGGTTATGGAATTAGGGGCCAAAAATAAGCATTTTTGAAACTTCCAGACAATAACTTGTGTGTTAGTATATAGATCTCTCTGACATTGTACCAAAAGGTTCCATATCACAAAGGGAATGCTGGGATTGATTTTGGGGGTAATTGCGTCAAAATTTTAGGAATTAGGGGCCAAAAAAAGGCAAAAAACAAGCATTTTTCTAGTTTCATGACAATAACTTGTGTGTAATTGTATGGATCTTTCTGAAATTGTACTACAAGGTTCCATATCACAAAGGGAAAGCTGGAATTGATTTTGGGGTAATTGCCAAAACGCTAAGGAATAAGGGGCCAAAAATAAGCATTTTTCTAGTTTCCAGACAATAACTTGTGTTCAAGTGTATGGATCTCTTTGAAATTGTACTGCAAGGTACCATACCACACACAGAAGGCTGGGATTGATTTTTGGGGGTAATTGCCTCAAAATTTTAGGAATTAGGGGCAAAAAAGGGGCAAAAAACAAGCATTTTTCTAGTTTCTTGACAATAACTTGTGTGTAAGTGTATGGATCTTTATGAAATTGTACTACAAGGTTCCATATCACAAAGTGAAAGCTGGGTTTGAGTTTGGGGGTAATTACCCTAAACGTTTAGGAATTTGGGGTCAAAAAGGGGCCAAAAAACAAGCATTTTTTCAGTTTCCAGACAATAACTTGTGTTCAAGTGTATGGATCCTCTGTACTGCAAGGTACCATACCACAAAGGGAAGGCTGGGATTGAGTTTGGGGGTGATGAATCATAAGGGGGTTCAAAAAATTGGGGGGGGGGGATTTTTTTTTTCCTTTTTTTCCTTTTTTTTTTTCTTTAAAATTTTCCATTTTAAGTTGGTCATTTTTGATTTATATATAAAAGCAAATAATAATGATATGGTTTGATTTCATCAAAAATTGAAATATCGGGGTTCTTTGATATGCTGAATCTAACCGTGTATTTAGATTCTTAATTTTTGGTCCCATTTTCAAATTGGTCTACATTAAGGTCCAAAGGGTCCAAAATTAAATTTAGTTTGATTTTAACAAAAATTGAATTCTTGGGGTTCTTTGATATGCTAAATCTAACCATGTATGTATTTAGATTTTGGATATTGGACAATAATAGGTAAATTAAAAAATTTTAAGTTCTTAGACCACATTCATTCTGTGTCAGAAACCTATGCTGTGTCAAATATTTAATCACAATCCAAATTCAGAGCTGTATCAAGCTTGAATGTTGTGTCCATACTTGCCCCAACTGTTCAGGGTTCGACCTCTGCGGTCGTATCAAGCTGCGCCCAGCGGAGCATTTTATTTCAGTTATGAGGCCCAAACTCCAGCTGAAAATATTCAGATCTCCAGTTGTGAATTAACAACTCTGTCACATGTATGATTTTTTATGTGGTTAATTGTACACAATATTTGTTTGAAATTGAAGTGTTTTTCTGATGTCTTTTCATTTATGCAAATTTATGCAGTGATTGTAATCCTTATAAATATTTGCATATAGATTTTTAATCTTGAGTTTTTTTTTCATGTCATTTAAATGACATTACCATTACTTTCACAAGGAAGTTCCAATAGGGCAACTGTTTAGATTTGATTTAATAAATTTCAATGCAACTCCACAAAAGTGTAGTATACTATATGAGGAATAATTCTGTTTTGACAAGTTTTAGCACAGTTGAGTGGATTTCACTATTTGTTATTTTTTGGAGCAGGGATATTGATAATATAATAGTGATTATTCATTCTTTTTAGATGAAGGCAAGGTTCCATTTGATAAAGACTTCTTGAAGAGCCAAATAACAAAAGAAGGAGGGATCATATTGGATAAAATAAACTGCAGTTTTTTGCAGGTATTTTATGTAGAATGTAAAGTAGTTTCATGAATTTTTATACCTATGATGTAAAAATGTTGCAGAAGCACAAAATATATCTGGATAATAAGTTTGATTAAAACGTTATTCTTGGATATTACAATCAGTTACTTTAAACTGATATCAGATTAAATATTAATAAAACATTAAAACATGCAAGTGTAAAATACAAAGCAAATTTTCTTTGTCAGAAAATCCCCTGCCTTTGACGAAAAGAGATGTTTGATGGGGAAATGCCTGTACCAAATCAGGAATTTGACAGTTATTTTTCATTTCGACATTTGTTTGGAGTTTGGTATTTTTTGTTATTTAACTTTTTGATGATACATGTATCTTATGCCTCTCTTTTCTTACACAGCTCTTGATAAAATTAAAAAAGATTCAAATTGACCACTTGCAAGAAAATAGGTGAAGCATGGTTTTGATAACAATTCATGTATTTCCTTCAATATTTAATATTTCATGTATAATTGATTTGAAATATTTTAGAACAAAGCTTCATTGTTCCTGATATCAAATTCATATGTACGGACTGTGAAATATTTCCAAACCTTAGCAGCAGGCTACCCTTGTGTGTCACATCGATGGATTATAGACTCTGTATCACAGCAAACACTTCTAGATTACAAATCCTATATGTTACAAGCAGGGATCAGTATAGAGAAGAAGAAAAAAGTGGAATGGTATGTTGATTAAAGGCCTAAAAGTCTTGAAAATCTATGTTGATATTGTTACACCTGTAAAAATGTAGTCTGTTTTGCTATTGATTTTTTCTTATATAGGTAGAAATGTAGATTTCACCACTGCAACAAGTGTGTTACGATATTTCTCCACTTGAGACAGTTAGATTTTAATATTTAAAGCGAGAGGCTTGCCAAGCTTTTTAAATAATTAAAATTTAACTGTTGAGAGTGGAGAAATATCGTAATACACGAGTTATAGTGGTGGAATCTGTTTCTCTTATGATTTTTATCCTTCCTTTTCAAAAATTTGCAGAAAGTTGTGTTCTTTATATGTGACGTCATCAGGCATGGTCGCCTTTTTTCATGAAGTTACAATAGGAAATTCAGAAGAAACCAAGAAAATTTGACGTCATAATTAAATTTCGACCAATCATTTGCCGAGAACAGTATTTCACTAGTGAGGAGAACAATGTTTTCACAATCGGTTTGAAAATGTGAAAATAGTGAAAAAATTAGAGAAAATCTGTTTTCTATGGATTAATTTCAAAGTGAACATTTCTCTTTAAACAGTAATCACATGACCATATTCTAAAAAGAATGAAAATTTGATTTTAAACAAATTGCAGGTAGGAAAGTTTCCTAATTACTTGTGGCTGGAACATGAAGATTTATTGTTTTGCTGTCCACTTTTCTGTATATTGGTCTGTTCATTGAGCTTTGAAATTAATAATTCTCTCATTGTCTTCTTGTGGGGGAGAAAACTATGTACTACATTTCATACTTTAATCACTCTTAGAAGATTTGTGTTAAAGTCCATTTCACAGACTTCTGTATGTGGTAATTTATTAATTTTCTCTTACCCTACAGTACAATACAATGTTGTCCAGTAATACCTACATTTCAGGTTTGTGTAACTGTGGCTAAGATTTTTGTTTAGTCTTGTTTCTAAGAAATTTAATTGTTAGTTGTTGAAATGAAAATTAGTGCAACAGCTTGATTCATGTACTTTACCAGAGTTCTATGAGCTTTAAAAAATGTGAAAAAATCTTGTGACAAATTAAATAGTATTAACCACTTGCAAGAAAATATGTGACCACATGACCAAGGATCCGGAAATTTTTCCAGACAATTTCGGTCATTTTGAGATGTTTGAAAAGTTGGTGCCCCTTTTCAAATTGTCAATATCAACTTGACTATATTCATAGCATCAACGAACATGACGAACTTGTATTGCTGTTTCATCGCATTTACTTAGTAAATGTCTTACCATTACCATGAAGGACAGTTTAGTGAAGGCAACAGTCTAAAATTGAAATGATTTTAATGACTCAAAATGGTTAATTTCTCAGACATTGCTTACGTTTCTTTCGATTTGACAGAAGTTAAAACCGGAAGTTTGCGATATTTTAAAGTACGAATAATTCCGGATTCATTTCCGGGATTTGTTTTGTTTATCAAATTGACAGGAAGTCACCGGCTTTTTATGTTTTTTTTATTTTATTACCTTTAAAAGTGTTTGAATATAACAGATAATAGTTGCACTCGTTTAATTTAGCATGAAATCAATTTGCATTTTACGATTAAATATTAAATCTGCTGAAGACAATTTCACGCATGCGTATTACATAGTAAATAAAGCACATGTGTTACTCATGAAAAAATACTTTTTTCTACGTAAATTTAGATTTAATTTTTAAATCAGAATTGATGACTGTCTTTGATGAAAAGTAAATAAATAATGAATACACTTGTCAGGGAACTTAAATGTTTTAAAGATATTATTCTGAGCTTTGTGATCACTGTCAGGTGTGAATTAAAACCACAGGTAAAAATCATTAGACAATGTTTCCCGTAGGCATTGATATAGATATTAAGAGGGCCCTCAAGATTATCAAACTACTGTAGTGGCAGTTTTATTACAGGAAAGGGATTATAAACAAAAACAAGTGATCACAAGTGCAAAATGGCGATTAAGAAATCCGATTTCAAACATTGAGTCAATGAAATGACCGAAATTACTTCTGTTAAAAAAATAAAATTTGTCCTAAATCCCAATTACTTGTTTAGGACAAATAGTTTCATCTTAGGACATGACTGGCAAATATGACCGTTTCCGGACCCTTGCACATGACTGATATATGCAGTGACTATTCAATATATGTTTTTTTTACTTGGTCTAGGAATGCACATAGAGGAGATTTAAAGGATATGACAATAATGTTAGAGGGTGAAAACTTGGCAGAATGGTCTAACATATTGGAAATAGCTGGGGCAAATATAGTAAAGAAATTACATAGCAGAAGAGCTACTGGTATGGTTTTATAGTATTATATTATTATAAACATGATTCTCTCATGGTTGTGGCCTGTTATCTATTTCTTGCATGAAGAGATATTTCTTGTATCACATTTCACGGAGTGTTATACGAAAAAGTGATATGAATACTGCATTAATTTGATTGGCTTATCCAGCATCATGAGACGATATTACGACATTTCCATTGGCTATTCATTAGGTCATTGATGACTTTCAAAGGTTAAGACAATGAACATTTCGTCCATGGTAACAGACATATAAGATTTTTTAATAATATACAAAACACTCACACTTTTCACCTGAAAATCTTCTGATTGTCAAATTTTATGACATTCTGAAGCGTACAAAAAGTTTTAAAATGTCTGATGTCAAAGTTTGATTCTGGAACAGGACATATGACATCATACAGGTATGTGCAAAAGACTAGACCAAGGATTCCATGAATTTTTAATTTTACCCCATGAGAGTGTTGACCATAAGAGAAATAGGTTTCTCTAATTCTTCGTCAATTTATCCCTTTCTGCACCCATTGTATAAAAAAAATTTAATCAATGTGTGGTTCGTTTGATCTCAGTTCTTCCTTGGTTAAAATCAGATTATGATGTCGAATGTTCTTGCTTTCCTCTGAATTTCCTATTGTGACGGCATGAAAAAAGGCAACTATGCCTGATGATGTCACATAGAAAGAACACATCTTTTTGCAGATCATTCGAAAAGAAGGAATAAATTTGCCTGCGTATTGTTTGAAAATCATTAGAGAAACCGATTCCACCACCAAATCTCGTGTAATACGATATTTATCCACTCTCGACAGTTAAATTTTAAATATTTAAAACGCTCGGCGAGCCTCACGTTTTAAATTTGAAAATTTAACTGTCTCGAGTGGATAAATATCGTATCACACTCGATGCAGTGGTAGAATCTATATTTAACAACTCGTGAGAATTGGATATTGCTTGATATCAACTCGAGTTATTTAATTTAAATAGTAATAAGAAACGAGCGATATTGAAATTAAATAACTCGAGTTGATATCGAGCAATATCCAATTCTCACTCGCTATGAAACCCTATAATATTATAATGCAACATTGTTTGTAACGTTCATTCCCATCGGAAAATGCCACAGTTTTCAACCATATCAAATGCGTTTATTCCATAACTGATTTCCTCAACAACAACAAAAACAAAATGTTTAAATGTTAAAAAAAATAAAAATTACCATGTGATTTTTTCTCTATTAAAGCTGTAAATATAAATGCAATTATACATTTTCTTTATCCTCAATACACACAGCATACTGTGATACTTTTATGTATACATTGTAGTATCCACAAGTTTTATATTTGTTTGTTAATTACATTCAGTTTTTTGTTTCTTTGTTTCTTTTTTTTTTTAATGCCATGTAATATTGCAACAAGACAATGTTATGCAAAGCTGAACAGACGTATCTCGGTGTCCACAATTTCATATTACATTAGATATGGTTTTCTTCAGTGCTTAAGGATCAGATTTAGTTTATCAAATATACTGTAAAAAATGCTTATGATATATATTTACAGATGAAATTGTGCAAGTTGTAGTGACAGACAATTCTTGTAAACCCCAGATTCTAAGATCAGCTAGATCACTAAAAATTCCTGTAGTATCAACTGAGTGGTTAATTCAGTGTTTAATCAACGGTCATCTTATGGACTTTACTGGACATCCTATGTATGAATATGACTATACTGACAGTCAAGTGATTTGAGACATAAAATTCTTATGAATGTTTCCGGTGTCGCTATGAGCTTTACAGTGATATGTTGGGTAATTCATGGACAATTGATCGATTGTAATGAGTAAATCATGGCTCACAGTGATATATTTCATAATTCATTAACAAGTAATGGACTTCACTTGACGTCTCAGACATCACTATGCCATTACAATGCTTTGTTCCTTTATTCATGGAAAAGTGATGGAATGTAATGAGTAAATCATGGCTCACAGTGATATACTTCATAATTCATTAACCAATAATGGACTTCACTGGATGCCTCAGATATCATTTTGCCATTACAATGCTTTGTTTCTTTATTCATGGAAAAGTGATGGCAGTAATGAGTAAATCATGGCTCACAGTGATATATTTCATAATTCATTAACAAATAATGGACTGCACTGGATGCCTCAGATATCTTTATGCCATTACAACACTTTGTTACTCTTTCATGGAAAACTGATGGACTTTGCTGGTAACCTATAGCTAGCGGAAAATTGGTGGACTTTCATTTAATAGAGTGAATGATAAAGAAGCTGCAAGCATCAGCTATATGAATAGTAATAAGAAGAACATGACATGGTTTATCACAGTTTCAAGTCTGACTCCTTGTATCATTGAAAAAAATGAAGTGAATTCTTTAGTATACCAAGATTATTTTTTTTAAACTAAAATTATTTACAATTTAATCATTGTTAATTCTTCATGAAAAGTCTTAAAAATGATTAGTCTTTTCATTGATATAATGCAAAAATAGTACACAAAGAAATCAGACAAAACAGTTGATTGAATAATATACATGATTATGTGTACACAACTTGCTAACAGTATCATGATTTTAAATTTCTCTCCATTTGATTTGAATTTGTGATGTTTATACATAGCATTTCAATGAGCCATTTTAAACCTAAGGATTGTCATTTTGTCACTGCATCACTAATCTAATTATTTTTAGTTTTAACTATATGAATAGTTGGCTCGTATGATAGTAAAATGATGTTGAAGATGATTCCCCGGTGCACAAACTATGGAACCTTGAAAGATTATCAGCTAATTTTAATTTGCTCAATCAAATTATTTCCATTATTGTTTGAAATTGTTTCTGTTTATTTTGGTGTTTTTCATGAAAATTGGACCGATTAGGTTCTATGACTACCTTGAGATAATAACTGCTTCTAGTGATCTTTGATGGGTGACTGTCTCATTGGTAATTACAAAATGTGTTTTTTTTATTTAATGTTTGTTTCTGTCCATGATTAAAACTAGTTGGCCTTTACATAAAGAACATTTATCATTTAAAAAAAAAAATAAAAATTTATGGTACTGAACTGATCATATGGTCTGAGTACACAGGTATCGTCCTTTGATTTTCGTTGTCCACGAATAAAGTCCCTAGTGTGGACAGTGTGTTGCTTGCCAATTTTTTTAGTACCCCTTCCAAATGTATTCCTTCATGTTTTATGCCTCAAATAGCAAGTAGGGGGATGAAATTACACTGTAAAAAAATTTGGGTCATGAATTGTAAAGTTAAGTAGTGATTTGGTCCAGCTGAAAAAGGTTAAAAATTAGCACTTCGGAAGCTGTCAAAAGATTTCAAGACCCCCTTAACATAGAATTGTCCATATTTTGAGTTAGAGCCGATGAAGTTTTCTATAATTTTGATATGATTTGTCCCAAAAGTAGTACAACACACTGTAAAAATATTATTGAGAAAGCGCAGGTGGGATTTTTTTTATTTTCATTTATTGTCTAAAAGAAATGCACTACGAAATAACTGTGTACTCGGACCTAAGAGGCGAAATCAGTAAACATAGAATCTGTACTTTGGCAACTTCCCTGAATGATTTAATGGTGTCAATTTGTCAAATAGCATGAAACTAAAGGATTTAAACTTTTATTTGATAGAAATTCTGCAAAAATTATCCATTTTGGCATTATATGGTCAAAATAAGCATTTCAAAGCTTTTTCAATTTTGATGCATAAGTGGCATTCTGACTTTCTATGTGACAGGTTTTCCTGTGTCAATATTTGTGTTTCTATGCTTTAACCCAGTTGTATTACTCATTTGTGAACTCTGAATCTACAGAAAATAAGATTATCTCAGACAATATGTGCAAAATGTGTTGTATAAATGACCCTCGTGTAACGGCCTGTTTGGATCAAGTTAAATGTGAGGACCTAGGTACATAAAAGTTGAAGTCCATAATAAAGATTTCACTAAATTTGTATTAAAAGCACTTCACAATGTCTTTTGTACCTGTTTCATTTCACATAGTATCTTTCTTTTCTTATGTTAAATAGCAAGTGGTTCAAATATAAGCCTGCTGAGGCTAAAATTGCATGCAAGTTTTTCACAAAAAGTGAAAAATCTTTGTATCAGACCATACTGTCTGCAAAAAAAGTTGAATGCAAGAGTCCTTTTATGCTCAGATTTATTGTATCATGTATCCTGAGTATAGAAATTATAAAAAGACACAAATTTTTATTTCCTATAGCTTCAGTATGCATTTTTAAATGTAAATATGTGCTACGGCCTAAATTGACCCTAAATTATTTTCAGTCTTACTTGGCTTAAGACCCTTTTATACTAATATGGTATGCTATTTGTAATTTTTCTTTCCATTTAAAGTACATTTAATACATATGTAAGGATTATTTATAACCAAAAAACTCCACAAATTTAAAATTGCTGGAAAATAATACATCTTCATGTAAGGCCCCCCTTCATTGGAAAACCTCCATTTTTTGGCACAGGCTCATATAAATTTGACTTTTAAATAATTGTGATAAGTCTGATAAATCAAATGAGTATTCTATTGCTTTAAATAGATAATATGTCATATATTAAGGCCTTTAAAATGTAATTTTTTGCAATATTTTGATTTTTAAAGCCCCAAATGTTGATAGTTGAAATTTTTCAATTTAAACGTCAAAATTTAACACGCGAAGTTGAATATAGAATTTATCATATTGTCTATAATATATATCCTATTGCCATGAAACTTTGTCAGCAGTCTCATAATTTATTAAGCTTTAGTCATACCAAGTTTTATTAAGATTGGTCAAATTTTTCTATCCTATTAGGTCCGAGTACACAGTTATCGTCCTTTGATTTTCGTTGTCCACGAATAAAGTCCCTAGTGTGGACAGTGTGTTGCTTGCCAATTTTTTTAGTACCCCTTCCAAATGTATTCCTTCATGTTTTATGCCTCAAATAGCAAGTAGGGGGATGAAATTACACTGTAAAAAAATTTGGGTCATGAATTGTAAAGTTAAGTAGTGATTTGGTCCAGCTGAAAAAGGTTAAAAATTAGCACTTCGGAAGCTGTCAAAAGATTTCAAGACCCCCTTAACATAGAATTGTCCATATTTTGAGTTAGAGCCGATGAAGTTTTCTATAATTTTGATATGATTTGTCCCAAAAGTAGTACAACATACTGTAAAAATATTATTGAGAAAGCGCAGGTGGGATTTTTTTTATTTTCATTTATTGTCTAAAAGAAATGCACTACGAAATAACTGTGTACTCGGACCATATAAAGCTATGATTATTTTAGAAATGGCTATGAAGATTTTTATTGTTTGTTTTGTTGTTTGTTATGATACAGTATTGAATTTAACAATTATTTTATATTTTACTTACAATTTTAATATAGTTTCTACATGATTTGCTTTTTGAAAATTTCTGTGAAAAAATATTTTAGGTATTGTACATGTTCCTGTATCAGTTATGAATAGATAACAACACTTTTAACCTTCACACATTTTTTTATTATTTAGGAATGTTGATCATGTTGATTGGTGCTAATGGATGTTTTGGTTTTTTTTTATATTTTGTGTTTGTATATAAAGTATATTAAAGCTGACTGCATTTTAACTTGATCTGGTGTTAAGTTCACTTTGTTTCTCCTTCAACATGTTCAATTAATTTATTAATCATTTAGATATACTGAGGATTTATTATTATTTGACCGCCTTAGTGGTCTCGTGGTAGCGTGTTCGCCTCAAGTGTGGTAGGTTGTGGGTTCCAACACTGGCTGGGTCAAACCAAAGACTTTTAAATTGGTATTTGCTGCTTCTCCACGAACCACACGGCATTAAGGAGTGAGAGCAAAGACTGGTTGGCTCTGAGTCAAATGTGTCTGGGTAAGGTGGCATGTCTTCCTGCGGACTGTTACCTTGTGAACTAGCACTTTAAAAATCCGGCTCAGTGTGTCGGTCTAGTACAAAGCAGGGTTAATATTCATATTTAATACATTAACATGTTCTCGTCCTGAATATGCATATTAATTAGACGCTGGACATTAAGCAGCCATTCATCATCATCATCATAATTATTTGTGAGGTACCAATTTTTTGTTGATTTTGTGTGTTTAGGTTGTAAACCACAAATTTAAATGTTCAAAAAAGTATAAATTTTTTATAGGCTTGTAAGCAAAATTTGTCAAAGCAGGAAATAAAACATCAACAAAAATAAATGAATCCACAGTAGATTATTTGAATAAGTTTCAACAGAATTGTTAACTGTTTTCTGTTCTTCGGTCGGGTTGTTGTCTCTTTGACATATTCCCCATTTCCATTCCCAATTTTATTACAGCAAAATGACTTGAGTGTGTAGGTAAAGGTAATATCTCTGGCTAGATTGCTTGCTAGCTGAACCGTGAAATCATTATTAGGTTAGGTATACTACCCTCCTTTCAGAGTAGTCTAGTCCTACAGACAGATAGATTGGTTATCTGTCGGACTAGTCTACTCTTAAAGGAGGGTAGTATACCTAACCTAATAATGATGGCATCTTTGTTTTTGATACTGACTTTATCAGCAAGAATATCAAGCAAGCCTGCTAGGGTGAGGTGATATTCGAGCTGATGAAGTCAGTATCAAAAAATCTTTCTATTTCAAGTTTATTTACAATTTACACAGTGTGTATATGTTAAGTATGTTTAAATGAACATATATTCTCATAGTTTAGGACTTTACTCATTATAGGTTGAAAAATACAGGCAAAGTTTAGATGTTTATGAAGTGTCCTATATTTTGACTTTAGTGGAACCTTAAGGAGTTATAGCCTTAAACGATCATTTTCTGACATTTTCATCTCTGTTATATACTTTTTCAAGTATCTAGTATAAAGTTTTGAGTTTTTCTAGGTCAGTCATCAAATATGGCCACCATGGCTAAAGTACATAAGGGAGCTACCATTTGATTTTTATGGGGGGGCTAGGATGAAATTTGAAAAAAATAGGCAGGACAGGAGTTTTGAGTAAAAAAAAAAAGGCAGGATGAGATTATTTGCCAAAAAAAAAGGCAGGATGACAATTTATGTAAAAAAAAAAGTCAGGATAAACTTTAAAAAAAAAGGCAGGACCGAATAGAGTGAAAAATAAAGGCAGGACCAAATAGAGGGAAAAATAAAAAGGCAGGACAAAACTTTTCATCCTAGCCCCCCCCCATAAAAATCAAATGGTAGCTCCCTAATTGTCTTTTATATCTTGAAAACTAATTTATTTGTTTTTCAGATATAGTCAAACGAGCCAAAGTTGTATGCCGAATATTACCAAAAAATGTGTCATAATAGAAAAAACAAATAAAAGCGGTATCCATCCATGACTCAAAATCAGTACATGCACAGCAAAAAACACACAAAAAGCAAAGGAACAGCGCTTTTATTGCTGTTCTCCATCTCAAAGTCACAATGAGGCCT